GTCACGTCACTCGTACCCAGGAAAGAAAAGAGAAATCTCCAACGAGGCGTTGGGGCAGCATAGACAGGTATTTTCTGTGTTAGAGTTTTACCCGCTATAGGGTGTACTTTGAGGGTTTGTGACTTTGCAGACCGTTTATATGCATGAAAAGCTTCATAACACACAAGGGGACGGGTAATAACCAGAAAAACATGACATGGGCCCTTTAAGACATATGAGGCCTTGTGGTTGTGGGGAAGGAACATGTCAAGGATCACCTTCAGGAAATGATTGTGTTTCTGTAGCATCTCTACAAGAGGGACACATGTGTTTGGGATTGATGCAAAATGTCAGGTGCTGTATCATCCCAGCATCAAAAGCATGTTTTAATGAAACCCAGCCCTGGTGAAGGTCAGTGAAACCCCTCCTGTGCGCCCACTACACGGCATCACTTACTAAGCAATTAAAATGCAAAAGATGTGACCAGCTACTCCCTCTCTCTCTGCTGGGGTTGAATATGTCATTGATCAGCACCAGTGAGTCAATTATCACTTTCCCAAGTGCTGCAGTTGCTGGATTTTAGAACTCATTTTCCAGCCCCACACCCCCCCCCTCCCCTCCACACACACAGGAGTTTAAAGACACTCTACATCCCTCACACTTACTCCCTATCGATGTTCAACTAAGATCAGCTTAGTAGTGGAACAGCATGAAATAACAGAACAACTCATTCTCATGCTGGTGTCATTGTAGATTTATGAAACCAATTAGAGCAACAGCATTTCTATAGTCCTTTTCACTTTAAAACATTTGCTCCTCGCTAAATGATTCTCTTTTGAAAAATAGCTACATTTGTGTTACATGGTTTTCCTCTTGAGAAAATACATGTTATTACACTTAATGAGTTTTAAGCTGTGGAAAGCTGTGCAGTTTGTTAGTGCAGCAATAGGTGTTGAAAGTGTCATACCGTGGATTTATCAATGCTAACATAATTAGTGAGGTCACAGTGATGTAGACCTTTAACCACACAAATCAAATGATTTCATTGACAAGAATACAACCTATTTACAGACAGCCTGAGAAAAGGCATAAAAGGTTTCTTTCGGAGACAACTTCTATGTGAGCTTTTTTTGTCCTTCTGCCAAAATTAACTTTGGTTTTGCATAAAACATTTCTTGTGGAACCGTTTTTTTAAACACATCCTGTGTGAACTTTAATTTAAAAAGGGCTGATGGCTGTGGAACTTCACAGTTCAGTGCAGGGTTTTTTACCTCGTCCTGCCCCTGTGCTCTGCGTAACAAGCCGTGATCCTTTCCTCCCACATTTCTGCAGTCATCTGGTACAAGTGTATCACCTGAAATAGGGGGACATAAACATAACTATAGATGAATGCTGCAGAAAATACAATCAATTGACAAACATTTTGGCTCATCAATGATGATGTGTAATACCGGCTGTCACTCACCCTCTTTGGAAGAAGTTCCTCCTCGGCCAGGAAGCCAGGCTTGTGGACATTGGGGTCGTACTCTCCGTACTGCAAGATAGAGCAAAAAGGCCAAAAGGGTTCAAATCACTGCACCCTAATGGCCACCATCCACCTTCCCTCCAATAGCAGGCCTCTCCTGGGAGCTGTTCATAAGATGAAAGCACAGCGGCTGTGAAAAAAAGGGTCTCGTGGAGAATGAATGGAGGCTGGTCTGCCACCAGGTCATTAACGTGCACCACACACTCAGGCTGTGAGGAGACGGTGTAAATGATGCTATTAGAAATATCTCTAAGAGAGCCGAGACTGATCACTTATAATCCTGGAGCCCGGATACAAATTAAAACATGCATGTTTGAGGAGAGATATGGATGGATTAGGCATGACTGAGTGGCGGTGGGGAATTTCCTTTGGGCTACTTTAGAACTGGTGGAATGATATGAATTATTCATAAAGTTACTGTTTCAAAAGAGTGAGCTATGACAGTAGATTTATGCAAGTAGGTTAACTTGAATGTGTACCTATATATCTGAGCATTGCTGTATGCTATGTAAATGTTCTTTTCAAATAGTCTTATTGAATGAACATGTGTATTTCCCTGGCACTTTGAGTTTTGCTGTTCGTTGTTATGTAGTTACCATTTTTGTTTCATTGAGGCGCAGCTCAACTTGAATCTTCTTTTTGTTAACATCAGTAAAAGTTGCAGATAGATACTGGAATTTGGTGTGGTACCATCTAGGTCAAGGTTCTGAGTGAGCTAAGCCAAAACTAGAAGGTTGAGTTAAAACAATACTGATGAGTGATTAAGAGAGAAAGAGAATTGTCAAAAGCACGACACAGGATATCCTGCACAAATTCGCCATTACTAAAAAGCCTAGGTACCTCAACAGTGACCGCAATGTTCTTAGATTTTGAAAAACTTCAAGCTGCCCTACGTTGTGCAGGTACAGACATTAGAGGTCAGATTATGCTAAAAAAAAGATTGTGTGGGAGAGATGGGAACTTTGGGATTGGAGCCTTTGTAAAACCTATATAACACACTACAGGAAAGGCAAATCCCAGTTGAAAATGATGTAACACCAGCTCTTGCATTCTCCTTAAGAGCGAAGTAATAAAATGTAATCGAGAGAACGACTTGGTGCAACAAATGAGTCGAGTCAAGCCTAAACATCCAGTAGAAATTACGGTTTCAAAAAAAGTTTTAAGGGCATCCTCGAAAAGTGTTTGATATTGGTGAAAAGAGTAAAGAGAATGTAAAGACCAGTCGGCAAGTGACTTTGTTTCAAATTAAGTTTGATTACACAGTGTTCATGACATTGTGTTTGGAAGACATAACAACATTAAGTGCTAGAACAATGACAAGAGATTCAAAATACAATTTAGAGAACATTGATTGCTGTTTTTGTTAATGCTGGACTTGCTGTACACAATAGAAAAATAAGCGTTTGAACCACTTTAACGGTTTTAATCAATTAATTATATTTGTTGTGTTGGTTGTGTTACTTTACTATGAAGTTTAATTGGATTTTCAGTGTGAGAAACAGCATATTACAAAATATAATAGGCTCAACACAGACTGAAAGCCTGTGCAGCGGTGTAGTGACTAACCAAGTGGAGAAGCTGAAGGCCATTTAATGACATCCTCTCCCTCAAGTTTCCCCTCAACAGAGCTTACTCTCCCTTAGTTTCTCACGGGTTTCTTTGTAACTGCTACATAATTGATGGTAGACATATCAAGGTATTATGGCACCAACCGGCATTTCAACAGTGACATTTCTTTCCAGATGCTTTCCTTCCTTTTAATGATTTCAAACCAAAACACATGAACAATTGATTCTCAAAGGCCAGCTATGTTTCAATATTTTCATTCAGCAATTAAGACAACATGCACAACAGTAGCCGCTGATTATTTAAATGTTCTGCTGGTTAATGCATTCCTCACACAGTCCAGTCCCTTTGAAGAAAATCCATTAACTGGACGATAGTCAGAAATATAGGTTATGTAATATCAAGCCATGAAATGCATTATTGTTGTGGAGTCAGGCCAAATGGCTCTTTTTATTTCTAGCATAGAGGTTTCTTCCATAAACAGCTATGAAGTCAAACTAAAGATATACCGGGCACGTTTGGAAATATTTTTTGTCTGAAATGTTTTTGTTCTTTTAGCAGCTTTACCATTATCAACAACATGGTTTTGAGAGAAATGACTCCACAAATATTGGATGGATTACCATGAAACTTGGTACCCTGATGTTCCCTTAGGCCGGGTCATTTCTTACAATTTTGGTGACTTAATTTTGCCATCATCAGGTCAATATTTATATTGGTATATGCAATACTAAGGGCAGTCCCATTAGCCTTATCTGTATTTTAAGTTTAGTGCTAGTCAGCATGTTAACACACAAAGCGGGTAAACATTATACCTGCTTTAAGCTATTGAATGTCAGCATGCTTACAAAAGTATTTAGCTCAGTTCATTGGTGTGGGTTGTTTACTTTCTGTATGTATTTACAGTATAACCCATATATACATATATACCTTTATTAGTATATAATTGCTTTGTTAATAATTCTATCGCTCGAAGTGGAGTCGAAAGAGATGAGTTTTCACATCTTCCGGCGCAGACTGAAAACTCATCTCTTTCGACTCCACTTTGAGCGATAGAATTATTAACAAAGCACTTATATACTAATAAAGGACTGGCTTATCTAAAGCCAGTTGAGTAGCACTTGAAATGTTTTAGCTCTATGAAACCTGATGTACTTATATGATTCTGTTTTCTTCAAGTTTGTATTTTGTTGGTCGAACGCACTTATTGTAAGTCACTCCAAAGTGACTTACAATAAGTGCGTTCGACCAACAAAATACAAACTTGAAGAAAACAGAATCATATAAGTACATCAGGTTTCATAGAGCTAAAACATTTCAAGTNATGGCCAACGGTGTGTGAATGTGTGTGAATGTTAGGTCCTAGAGTAAGGTACACTGCTCTGTATGAATGGGTGTGAATGGGTGAATGACATGTAGTATGTAAAGCGCTTTGAGGGGTCTTAAAGACTGGATAAAGCGCTATATAAGTACAGTCCATTTACCATTTACACACACACACACACACACACCATCTCCTTCATAAAACAAGGGGGAATACTCTGGTAGTTCGATGTGTGTGGTTAAACGTAGCAGCCTCGATCTCTTCAGCTGTTCTAATGAAGGGAAACGCAGTGAAGTAAACAGTAAAAGGCACAGCTGGTGCTGCTCTTCTCAGATTCTGCTGAGTTACACGTTACTGCCTCCAGTGCCCCGTACGACGGAGCCAGTTCAACAGACCCTGGATATGTTTGATTTACCCGGCTTAACTAACCCTAACAAACGCGATGTCGCTAAGCGGTCCTACGAAGCTGGATATCAACTCAGTAAATCAACCAGGGTTTCTCTGTCTGGCTGAGAGCGCGTTCACGTGAAAGGGACGGGGTTAGCAACATTGGACCAATCACAAACATGGAGACGCGTGCTGACAGCGCAGCGTCATACTTCATGAATGAATAGTGTAAATAGCAAATCCTGCTTCGTAGTACAGGCCACGTAACGCTTTTAATGAGTTAATAAAGCGTGGCCTCGTATTTAAAACGTGGCCACGCTTTATTAATATTAGTTTCATTTTCATTTATGAAGTATGATGCTGCGCTGTCAGTACGCTTGTCCATGTTTGCGATTGATCAAATGTTGCTAGCCCCGCCCCTTGAACGCGCTCTCAGCCAGAGAGAGAAACCCTGGGTTGATTTACTGAGTTGATAACCAGCGTCGTAGGACCACATAGCGAGATCTCGTTTGTTAGGATTAGTTAAGATAACTCAAACATATCCAGGGTATGTTGAACTGGCTTCGTAGTACAGCGTTAATGTCAAAGACACAAACATTATATTTAAATTTTACCAGGAGGCAGTGACAAAGATATTTGGGAAGGCTTAGCCTTCCCTAGCCTACAGTACCCGCTGCCCCTGATCAACACTGCAGTGTGTGGCAGGTTTAAGGTTGTAGTGTATGTGCACACTGTTGCTCTTACCTCTTTTCTGAGTTGAGTATGAAGAGGAGCTCGTCTTCACAAAAGTGCTCTGGCATCCCAAGTGACTCGATTTCTGCAAAGCTGTCTCCGAGCACCTGGCCAACGCAAGGCTGGGTTACAGATCTCTGGGTTAGTTTGGGGAGTAGAAATCTCACATCTCACACAGAGACAAATGCATTTAAGCATCTATTCATGGAAAATGTACTGATTGGACTGATTGCTTTCTCTTTTCTGTCATATACTGTATATTTATGTATCAAACAAGGGCTGATGTAACATAGTATTAATCAGTTGAGAATCAGTATATGTTCAATATTACAAATGGATTACTTACGACTTCTGTGAAGAATCTCTTAGAGATCGATTCCACCGTCCTTCGTATTTGTATGCCAACTCTATGGCGTGTTTTGTATTCTCTGAGCCAGTCACAGCACTCATTTTGACGATAAAACCTCTGCAATCGTGGCCATCTGTTGATGAAGGCAGTACAATTGTTATTCCGGTGAATCTTTTAGAGCATGATCAAAATGCAGCATAATGCCTGAGGCACTATATGAGATTTCTATGAGATCATTTATCATCCTGATGCATGCATGGTTTGCTATTTGTACAAAGGAAAGCAATCAGGAGAGTGATAGCCAAATCGGTCAGGAGGAGGGCTGAGCTTTTGGCAAGAGCTGCACTCTCCTGCATTTCACAGGCAACATGTTACATTCAAGGTCACACAAATTAATTATTGACAGTTTTGGGTAAGAAGGAATATAAGCTGCAACGTGTGAAATGTTTAAACGCGTAGATATACAAGCTTCACAGAGAGCTGGCTGCTGGCCTGGAGGGGTGATGCATTTGGTGCATCAGCAGGATGTCAATGGATGACAGCTGCTTGTGAGTTCGCAGTAAAGGCAACCATTTTTAAGTACAATGAGCAATGTAGGGCTCTAAATAAGACATATAATAAAGAAAAGACGGCTTCGTTTCGGTAGACGTTGGTAAATAGCCACCAAAAGCAGTAACTGCGACGATATAGCACAGAGAAATAACAGCACCTGAGTTTGTACTGGTGTCCCCAGACCTTCCCCCTTTCATGGCAAACGTCGTGTAGCCGCTTGCAGCAGCAGGAGACGTTACAAATGTCGACATTTTTGAGGACTGGAAAGCACAGGATGTGTTCTAGCAACTCGGTCGGTAGGTCGGTCAAATTTTTTGATTGAGGGTCGGATATAATCCCATTTAGACTTTGTTGTCCCTCTGCGACTGCAGACGTCGCCATCTTTACTGTTTACCCAGATTACCTCATTGAACAGGCGCCTCCCATTTATGGCGCAGGGGGCATGGCTAGGGGCGGGGCAAGGGGGTGTAGTGCAATGTGATTGGTTGTTCGGTCAGGAGAAGGGAAGCCATGCCACCTTCAGGGTTCCTTGGACGCTCGAGATTTATGTTATTTTAGAAAAATAATCACAAATGATAAAAGTCCGTTCCCCAGCAGCAGTCAAAATAAACTACATTTTTAAGGTACTTGTCCACACTCATAACATGTCCATTGTCTGTGTCAAATACATGTTTGTTTCAGATAAATCATAATTTATTTACAAAGAATACAACACTTGTGTGATTAACTGTTAGCAAAACTGATTGTTATTATTCTTCAGCTTCCTGTAGCACCTGCCAGAAGGGGAAATTAATATCTACGAACAATACATGTAAGTAGGTTTGCAGCTGATTCATTCTTTAATAACAATATAGATGCTATTGTTTAATTCATAATATCGGATCTTATTTGTCCGAAAACAATGGACAAACAAAGGGCCTATCATCAGTTATCTTGTTTTTTTTCCTGGCCAACACTTTGAAACTCAAATCTGAATAAGTGACTACTCATTTTAGCTCAAAAATACAATTAGAATCTAGAGCTTGATTATTTTTGACCCTACTTTTTGTAAACTTTTTGTTTACATCAGGATACATTGGCTACTTTTGGCTATGGTTTGAGAAATTGCAAAAGAGAAAACAAAAACAATGTATTATTACTGCATATATTCAGATAGATAGAAACTGTATTGATCCCATATTAGGAAATGATTTTTTTAAAGCAGCATTGTAACATAATAATATAAATAATTATATGTTTGACCATAAAAAAGCATTGTTTTCTTTTGTCAGTAAATTCATTTGATCAACTGTGCACTACGATGTTATTACAACGATCTTGATGGTACTTGAATGCAGCATTGCTTTGAGAATGAGCTTCGTAACAAATGGTTAGCAGCAGGTTCTAGGTAGCTATCGCTTCGAGTAAACATGCAGAAGTGTTTTGAACTGTCCAGGAGAGATATATTGGCTTAATTTTTTCCCCCCGGACGCTTAGAAGAATACGTCAACGGATTTAAAGTTATAAAGACGGATACCTTTAGTGCAAGAAATGGGTTTGTAATGTACACGTTAGTTTGTTAGTTAGTTACTTATTTTCTTTTTAACCTGTTAGCTAACGTTAGCAGCAAGGATAGGACGGTACACTTGTCTCATCTGCTTATGCTAAAAGTAAACTAACTTGTTTTGTAGGTAACCCGATATTACAAAAATACTACCATTTAAACATGGAATCTGTCTTATACATTCATAAGTCAAGATAATGTCAGCGATAGCCTCATTTAAACCTGAATGAAACTTGTTTTAAACATATATTTATTGATAGTTGAAGGTGCTAGAGTAAAGCTGGACAGTCACATCCATATAGTGTAACATAAATAATGCCTTGAAAGTGCACTTCTTTTGTAGGACTTTGTATAAGTAAATAGTAAGTTTGTAAGCTTTTCACCATGGCAAGTGCCTTAGCAGCAAAAATGGGATTCAACTCATTGTTAAGAAAACAAGCCAAGAACTTCAACGTCAGGATCTGCACAATGGAGTCAGACATGGAGTTCAGCTGCGAGGTGTGTATGAGTGTGTTTCAGAAAATGAGCAATATTAAATTAAACTTTACTGCAAACTTTACCTGAACATAACACGAAATGCATCCGAGTCCTCCTACTGACTGGGATAACAATTGTCATGCAGTGTATTGCAAATATAACCGTATTCTAAGCATTACCATACACTGTAACGACACCTTGAATTGATGTGTTGTCACGCTTTTAACAGGGGACAACAGTGATGATGGTCACATATAATATCGAGTTTCACTTTCGACACTAGATGGCAGCAAGTAACTGATCAAACGCAATTTGTATAGTTGGTTTATTTTACAGGAGAGCATATCTGTTATGTATCTCTGTTTTATGCAGCAATGGAATCATGAACATTTTAGTCAATGCAGTATTGGACTTGTCGCAGTGCTGTGTGAATCATCCTTCAGTGTGAGGTTAAAACACACTGATGTATGCTGGTTTTTAATGTATTTTGGGCCTTCCTGTAGTATCTTATGGTTAAGCATATGATTTGTTTGATGATAAAGCAGAGTTGAAAGGGATAGAAATGACTCGCAGACACCTCCTCTGTATTTAAAGGGGAGGAACCCTTCATGGTTTGCAGTTGGTAATTACACAGAGCAGCATACTGTTAGTCGCAGGTTTCTATTTTCTGTGCTGGGATGATAATTGTATCAATTATGGGTTTTGTAAATAGTATTTAGCGGGTATTGGTCGTATAGACTAAGTGTTCATACAGCCCTTGCATAGGATTATTTGATTCTCCCCTAGTTGCTCCTCCTGCTGTATTGTGAAGCAGTTTTCCTCATTTCTTGGACACACACACACACACACACACACACACACACACACACACACACACACACACACACACACACACACACACACACACACACACACACACACACACACACACACAAAAGAGAGACACGTTTTGGTCATGCTAACCTTGAATACACTTGACAAAAGCTTGCAGCCAATGTGACTGTTGATAATAAGCTCTACAGGCTGAGTTTTTCAAGTTTTTTGTTTTGCTGAGACGAAATCCTTTTTGTGTTTCAGGTCAAGTGGAAAGGGAAAGACCTTTTTGACTTTGTGTGTCGAACTCTGGGGCTGAGGGAGACGTGGTTTTTTGGACTCCGGTACGACATCAAGGACACTGTTGCTTGGCTGAAGATGGAAAAGAGGGTAAGGGATTTGAACGATGTACTGGTCATTTAAGAGCCATTATTAACATTGTAGATAAAGGTAGCGGGCAACACACTGAGAAACATTGACCCGTCTTGCGAATGTTTTTTCTTTGGGTCATTGTCGTAGGTTCTGGATCAGGAGGTACCGAAGGAAGAACCAATCACTCTTTACTTCCTGGCCAAGTTTTACCCTGAAAATGCTGAGGAGGAGCTCGTGCAGGATATCACACAGCATCTCTTCTTCCTACAGGTAAACTATACATTATGTACATCGCTGTTTTGTCACTGCGCATATAGGTGTAGTTTTGTTTTCCTCATTTCAAGTTTAATCCAATATAAATAAAAATGCTGAATGTTTGGTGATTTCTAACCTCATGTTGCTCTTTTGTCTCTGGATCTTCTCTTTAAATACTTACCTTGTTACCGTCGTATCTATTTCATTTGTGTCTTTCATGCCATAAAGGCCTCATGAGAATGTTCTTTGTACTCTACCTCGGACTGTCACATTTTATTCTTTCTCTGCTGCTTTTTAAATTGAAATAGCTGCAGGCTTGACAGGTAAACCTGAAGCCCAACATGCCTTTTAGGAGAAGCTGTGGATAACTGCCTAGTGGCTGGCTAGTGGGCAGACACTTTTTTTTTAAAACCTCTCTTTCCTTGATCGTAATCTTCCTAGAGGAGTGCTATGTTCAAGACTCTAAATGCAAAACCTGTGGGTGTTGGTGTTACCTTTCTGAGGAACAAGATGAGATGAAAGATAGGCTTGAGAAAAGATGGCTGTGTGAGATATTTAACACCTAAAAGCTCTCACAATGCTCTTTAAATACATTCAAAATTAATTCACCATTGAGAACAGGCTGATGTGCCGTATTTGCGGCTTCCTCACTATTCTGATGCGGTGCCAACAGGGGGCATGCGTCCACTGAGTTTCTAACAAGTTGTTGAGCAGAGCCCTCTGTTATACACCTTTCCCATTGTCTCCAGTCTGATGGTGTGCAGCCATGTGGAATCAATGCGCAACATATTACCGCAGCCCTTTCTCTCCTCTTAATACTCTCCGGGGGATTCCTGCGGAGCCATTCCTGCCCACAAGAGATGAGATTTGTAACTGTGTTCCAATGCTACCAGCCACATTTATCAATTACCAATTAGGATTGAAAGGCTCAGCTATTGGCCCAGTTAATGACATATTCTCTATGGGATGCTCATCCCCAATAGCACTTATAGACCATTGTGCTGGTTTAGTTATATGCTTTGAGACAGCAGTGTGCTTGTCTACTTAAGCTCTATAAAAAGTGTCTGTTTCCTTAATCCATTTAAAGGTAGTTGAAGCTATTTATTTGTTTTACGGGGAGACATCGCTTTAAAAGGAAAGAAGCAGCAGACAAATGACTCAACAGTTAAAGCAGCTACAACGGAAGAGGAATACAAAAGCTTAGCCTTGCGCCGCCTGTCTCCATATTACTCTGCTCTCATTAATTCCCACAATGTCGGGCGCAGGGCTCTGTTCAGATAGTGTCACAGGCATGACAGCTGGATTAGCGCTTATCGGAAATGATCAGCGACCCGGATACAAACGCACACACACCCCTCACACACTTAAGACCACTCACACAAACAGACACATCTTTGTCACCTCTTTAGCAACAACATTTGTAAACCAGATTGCAGCCTCTGTGTCTAAGCGCTTCCCACAACTAGGGGCCGTCACCTCTGGCTCCACATCTCAGTTAGTTCAAAACAAAGAAGACAGACTGGCTTGGTAAATTATAAGGTTTGAAGCACTAAATTGCCACCACGGCTGCAGCAGGTTTGTAGCGTCTCACCTTGCGTTCCGGCTTTGTGCTCCGCATGCAGTTTGGAAGTTTGTGATTCCATTAGTTTGACAGGGGACAGAGCTCCTGTAGTGACACCTGCACTCTTAATCTGCAGGGAGCTTGTTAAACGGGATTTCCACCCATTTGAAGAATTCATGATATGACTGGGATCTGTGATAGTTAAGTCAACATGAACCACTCTCTACATAAGCTATAAACCGGAGATCTAAACCTTACATTTGTCACTCCTAATGATTGGAGTGTATTCACACACATAGAAGCTGCTAGATCTGATTGCAGCACAGAAAAATGATGAATTAGGAAAATAGGCGTCATTCTCTGATTATGATTCAAAGCTTTTCGAGGCGCATTACTTTCATGTCATTATACTATATACGCAAGCAGATACTCCTGGAGCAGCTTAATGACCATATACATTAATGTTGGCTTAGGTCCATAGTTGGTGTTTAATAAGTCCCAATGTGGCTATGATACTCAAGTTTTAGAATATTTATTTAGCAAAGTTTATCCTGTTTCCAGGTCCAAGAGCTCTCTAAACTGAGAAAGCACCAGGGAGCTGTCGCAGTATAGCTGTAGCTTATTTACTTAAGGTTTGCAGCATATCCTAAATTGGTCTTTTTTGGCTTATGAAAATTGGCACCTGAAAACAGTTTAAGCTCTATATTGTCTCTGTGTTTGTCAGCGTGGAAATAATGAAATCAAATTTTGGCTGTGGAAGGCACAGTTGTTAGAAAGTTGTGTTTCACCCAACACTGACTCTCTTCTCTCATCGTGCTTAAGTCTAATACGATCACCTTTCAATCAGCTCCAGCTCCTTCACCTCATATGATATTTGATTTGAGCTGGTTGCTCTGACTTTAGGGGTGTTCACATTCATTTCCCACTAGGTAACATCTATGCAGAGCAAATGTCCTATCTTGCAACATGCGTATTGGCAGCAGGTTTAGGATCCGATCTTAAATGTATTTAGTTATTTCTTGTCCCATGTTTCACCCTTCTACTATAATGGGGCCAGTAGGTAATCCTGACTGAAAAACCGAGAGGGAAACAAACTACCCAATGGCACAGATTTAGATTTATTTGGGAATAGATTTTTTATTTTTTTAACTTTAATTGTCTATATGTGGCCTTTGTTCTAAATACACATCTCTTTTGTTTTGCATAGGATAAATAAAATAAATAAATAAAAATGCCTTATCGTATGCATTAAACACTCAAGTGTTCTAAGCTACATGAAGAAAAGAAAAATTAATAAGGAAAAAATACAGCCCAAAAAAAGATTGCAAATAAAGCAAAATTCATATAAATAATAATCATATTAAAACAAACAGCAAACAGAGCTGGTTCTACGGCGAGTTCAGGGACGACCTAAAAGGGCTTTTTGACAAAAAATGAGTTTTGCATTACAAGTAATTGCATTTGGTTCCTCCTCAGGTGAAGAAGAACATCCTGGAGGAGGAGATTCACTGTCCTCCTGAAGCCTCCGTGCTGCTGGCCTCATACGCCGTCCATGCCAAGGTAAGTACTCTCTGTTGAGCTAAAGATCAATCTATGTTTTAAGTAGAGCTGTCAAACGATTACAAATTGTAATTAATCACAGCTTAAAAATTAATTAATCATGATTAATCACCATTCGAACTATGTCCAAAATATGCCATTTCTTTATGTATATTGTTGTGGGAATGGAAAGATAAATGAAAGAAGGCGGATATATCCATTTAACATACAGTATGTATGTTTATTATAACATTTTTCTGTGTGTCAAAATGAAAGACAGCACCTATCAATCATCAAACTGTGGGGTCTTAATTCATTACGTGTTGATTTCTATCAACGGGAATGTACTTCAGGAAAGTCGACGGGGGGGCTAGTGGAGCAAGACATGTTGCCTTAACCGGTTTTGTGCACGGGTTGGCCAGGCCGGGACGGCTCCGCTCTGAGGGGGGAAGTCGACCTCTTGACGGTGATTTTTGTCACGTGAGTGTTCACAAGTGTGCAGGACACCNCGTTTCCCTTCATTAGAACAGCTGAATAGAGATCGAGGCTGCTACGTTTAACCACACACATCGAACTACCAGAGTATTCCCACTCGTTTTATGAAGGAGATGTCCTGTCACCGGGGCGCATGATGTGTGTGTGTGTTTGTGCTCAGCTCCGCTCTGTGTGTGCGTGTTTGTGTGTGTCCGACACCACCGGCATTTGTTTTCAAATTACCACGAACAGTAATTTACACAAATCTGGTTCTCCATAGTTATACTGTATGTATATTCCCAAGTGAAAGAAATTTGTTTAATCTTAATCTCGATGTAGTGCTATAGTCCTGCCGGAGTGCACCGGAACGAACAACACACACACACACACACACACACACACACACACACACACACACACACACACACACACACACGCCCCTTTTATTTATTTTTCTCTCTATGAACCCTCCAGGGCTCCGTACAGAACAAATGGTTAAAAAATAAATAAACTACCAAGTTTTTGAATGCGTAGGCCTACATTAACAGGCTTATGATATCACTGCCTCATCTAAGACACGAGTGATCTGATTTAATAATTAAATAATTAACATAATTACATTTGAGTTGAGTGTTTCGTCAACTTAATGCAGGGGTCGGCAACCCCTGGCACGCGTGCCAGCATTGGCACGCGGCACCGTAACCAGTGGCACACTAGGAATAAGTGGAATAAGTGTGCAAAATATTTAAATTAATTTTTGGATCCTGAACGCGAGACCGCCGCCAGAGCGCGTCTCCCCGTTACCTGCAGAAGGAAGCCATGCACGCAACGCAGCCCCGCTCTCTTTATCTCCAGGTGACTTTCTGCCGCTTTCCTCTGTGGTGCAGTGCTGATCGTTTCACCACGGAGGAAAGCACTTCACTAATTGCAGTACCCATAAGGAGCTGTACAAATTACGCAGTTTTTGCGTGGCTGTGTCTGAGACTGCCAAGGCACACNTCTGTTTTTCTGCTTTCCCGTTTCACTTCCAGAAACATACACACGTTCCCTCACTGTCGCTCTACCATTCACAAACACACATGCACAAGCCGCACCCCTCTCTCTCTCTCTTAAAGGGACAGCGATCTCATCTCACTCTGCATGACCCTAATATCATAACTTGTGTGTTCTGGGGAATCACAGAACGGACGATCGTCCTTATTATTATGCCGTTTAAACCAATTATTTAAATGTGTTTGTTAAATTCGGCATCATGTAAGTTGCGCTGACAGGTGCACACACTGCTTCCCCGCAGCAAGGCTCCCCCGCCCTCCTGCTGATAGTTGACGAGCGTCAAGCTCCTCAACCCCCCCCCATTGATAATTCTCGATCGTTGGCACGCTGATAACATTTTTTTTTTTAAATGGCACTTCATATCAAAAAGGTTGCCGACCCCTGACTTAATGTGTTGCTTAAAATAATACTTCTGCATACAGTAGGCTATGTGACACTGTAAGTGTTGCACGGCCAGATACGGCTCGAGACGTCGGCGCCAATGGACCAATAATGTGTCTCTCTTTCATTCTGTGCCCTTCCTTAGTAAAAGCTTGACTCTGAAGTACTATGCAAAGAAAATCCTTTACTTCCTGAGACAACAGAACATCCTGAGGAGTTTGAAGACTTTCCTGGAGCAGCCTGCAGAGCAGCAGTCAGCTTTAGAAGGTGAGGCATGAATACATGGCAAACAACACAAATTGCACTGTTCAGCTTATACAGTACATACAGTGCATTTTCACATTTGATTGGTCTTGCTTTTGTTTTTAATTTTCACAATTAAATCCAATTATTCACCCCCTCACTTGCTCTTGCCGGCCTCTCTAGGTGCCATACTGGTGGATCAGTATTGTAACCCTCTGGCTGAGGTCACACTGAACAGCGTATCAGCACAACTGGATGAGATTGCAGAAAAAGTGAGGAAGATGCTGAAAATCAAGAACTCCTCTCACCCCAGCCTGCGCATCGCTCAAGGTGGGCTTTTCAAAAAACAAAAAATCATGTCCTCTCAATTTAGAATACCATTGTATTTGGGCCATATCTGTCAGCTGCACAATATTTTCCCTTTCAGCCATATTTATTATGTGCATGTCTGATTTCTTTTTTATTGTATAGGAGACTGTTTTGTCGTGGAGGACTTTGAGCTCCAGAGGCAGGTGGTGTGTGCTCTAAACTCTGTCCTGTACGAGCAGCTTCAATACAAAGGCAACGAGTCTGACTACTACAACCCTCTCAACTCTTACATCCACCAGGTAGATTGTTTAAAAATAATTTACACTTTCAGCTTTTCAACCATTTTTTTAACCATTAAAATCTCAGGACTCGCTAAGCCATGTTGTTGTTCATTCAGGTGCTACTACGCCGTACAGGTATTCCCATAAGCCTCTCGGTCCTCTACATGACGTTAGCCCATAAACTGGGGGTTCAGGTGGAACCTGTCAACTTCCCCAATCATTTTCTGCTGCGCTGGTGCCAAAAACAAAGAGGGTAAGGTTTGAAAGTAAAATATCCTAACATTTCGTTTTAACATCATCTTCAGTGTAGAGCTGCCATTTACATGATTTGTTGAACCAACCAATCAGGAAATGAAAAGACATTGAGATATTCTTTGGTCGTACGTCAAAGGATTTGTTGTCCTTTTTGTTTCATTGAGTCAATTTCTGTTTTTAACTTCCTTTTTTCATAAAATCCTAGTTCTGCTTATTGTCGTCAACATGAACAAATAATATTCAAAATCCATCTTGTTTAATAGTATATTTTTAGGCAGCCTACTTTGAAATCTGACAAGTTCTCAGCTATTTTGGTTGTCTTTTTGGTATAAACTAGAATAGACACTAATTACATTTTACTTTTTTTTGCTGTGCAAGTTAAATGTTTTCTGTTCACTGGAATGGATGTACATCAGCTAATTCTGGTGCATTGTGTTAGAAATACAAGCATGCTTTGATGCTTTAGTAGTTATGCAGACACTTTGTGATAGATTCCTGTCAAATATATTTTTCACATCATAATTGACCAAACTTTGCACCTGCAGGAGCGAGGACATCTATGACTATGTCTACATTGATGCCTTTGGTAAAGGCAAACAGCTGACAGCCAAGGAGTGTGAGTACCTGATTGGCCACCAGGTGACGGCAGATTACTACAGTGCCATCAGCACCACGGAGGTTCTGCTGAGGATGGTGGGGAACCTGCTCAACATCGGCAAGAGAGGGTAAGAGAGACTCAAAAGCTGACTGTCACTACTGAGTCTTCTTTTGATGGATGGTCAAGGCATAAGATGTTATTAAATGACGTCTAAAATGAAATCAATTCCTTCAACGTATCACAGAATGAAATGACTCAATCAATGTAATGATTTGTTACTTCACCCTAACTGTGTGGTTTTCTTTTAGGGAGGGCAATGAGAAATCCTACCAGCTGCTGAGAGACTCTCTTGACCTTTACCTCACTATCAACCCAGACAATGTGCAGTACCTGCTGCTGCAGGCACGCCTCTACTTCCACCTGGGCATCTGGCCAGAAAAGGTTTTTTTTAATAATGCTCTATATGATAAAGTATTACCTTCCAAAGCACTATCTCTCCAGCCCTGTAGAGTGCTGCAGGAATGAAACCTGGCACCCAAAATGTACTTAGCGCTTGGTTCCCTCATCTTGAAGTCAATGGTCAATTTCTGTTTAAAGGTCTGAAATAAGTTATGAGAAGAGGGAATTACAGGACGATGTGGTTTTACTAGCAGTTCACATTTTTAGTAAAACATTTTTGAGTCCTTTGACCTTTATTAGGTAAACATATTATGTTCTTTGACCTAATAAAGGTCAGTAAATATCCCAGCCGTGTGTGCTGAAGTTTCTAAATGAGACTACTTAATGGCCTCAGACCAAACACTAGAAAGCCTTCAGCTTAGTGGCGGGGATGTTAAGTTATGCAACCGGGTTGTTGTACGTTCACAGGCTAATGTTAGCTTTTTCCTTCTTGGATTATCCATTGGTGGAATCCCATTGGTATTTTGACGATGCTAGCTTTCAAGTAGGCTTAACAAAATGGATTCCTGCAGCACTCTTTATATTTTAGAGCTGGGAAATATTCCGAAAGCTGAATATCATGATTTGACCAAATACCTCAATCGTTATAGGTACAATATTGTAGGCGTCACCATTAGTAGTTATTTTAAATAATCATCAGTAATGTGGATATAGTGACTAAGCAGGAAAAGACAAACATTCTGATATATTCAGAATATTACATTACTTTCATGTTTGATAGGCTTTAAAACTAGAAATGACATTACTCATAATATAACAATATTGAAAATCCTCCGTCCCAGGTGCTCGACATCCTGCAGCACATCCAGGCGTTGGACCCCTCCCAGCACGGGGCAGTGGGCTACCTGGTGCAGCACACGCTGGAGCACATCCAGCACAAGAAACATCCTGCTACACCCGAGGTGAAGAAGCGCAGCGCTGCAGAACACGTGGAGGTCCAGTATTCAGTCGGCCTCATCATGAAACACAAGAGGTGGGTGAGGCTAACGTGCAGTACAACAATCCTTCTCTTTTCAAACTTCTCATCGTCTGTCCGTCTCCATGTGTTCCCCCAGGTCGGGATATAACTGTGTGATCTACGGCTGGGACCCAAAGTGCACCATGAGTCAGGAGTGGATCACCACCATGAGGGTCCACCAGCTGTCCAGCGGGGCCAACCAGCCCTTCTACAACGTCCTCGTACAGGACGGTACTTGTCGCTACGCAGCGCAGGGTAAGAACAATCCAAATCAGTCAGTTCCACGTTATGTCTAATCTTGCAATAAGGTGATGCAAGAATCTTTTTTTAACACAAGCATATTTATATACACATAGTATTGTTGGTATTTTGGGAGAATATGTCGGTAACACTGTCTAAGCTCTACTAATGAAATATAATCTGCTTGTAGATCTGTATAATTATAGTTATGAGGTGAAGTTATAATTATGAGTGCTTCTGGATATTCATTATGCTTTTAAACAGCAATCATAACACATTACATAGCATTTTAAAATAACTCAAAAGGTAAAGTACCTCATAGTTGCGGTTAGTAACGGACATTGATGGACTTACATTTCAGATGATTTATTTATTATAAGCAGCTCTAATGTATTATCTGCTTAAAACATCAGAATGTGTATGAATTTACCCTAAAGCACATTATGACCTCTAAGCTTCATTTGTAAAAACATTTGATCTGTGATAATACTAATGCAGTATAAGGATTGTGACTTTTTTTTTAAAGCTTCATTCTGTTTAGAGCAATATGGATATGAATGAGTGATTAACACTTCCAAACTTCTACAGAGCTGTAAGCAATCTATAATATAATATATGTTCTTATGAATAATTGAATTATTTTAGACATGGAAGTCAAGCGATCAATGCAGCAGCTTCATTTCATATTAAATAAGAAGTGTCTCTTTAATTCCATTTTAAAGAAATGTTATATAATTGCAATGAACAATAATATATGTTATCATCTAAAAACAGATACAAAATAATTTCTCAATTCTAGTGAAAAGCCAAGAGGAAGTCAGCAGCAAAACAATGTAACACTTTAAGTTTTCATAGAAGCATATAAACAAACCAGTGAATGAGGAAATAAAGCTCTTATAATCTAACTGAAGGTGGGACAAATACATTCAGTATTTATTTACCCTTTGATAAATGCCATGTAAACCTCACTCCTTTTTACGAGACCTTTGTAGCATCTGAAACTGACCTACATTTTAACCCCACTTAAATACATTAGGCTGATTTATATGTATTTCCTAATACTACTTCCTTGTACTTAACTGCTCACTCTGCTGATGCTGCCAATACTACACAGCTCCATTGTTTGTACCTGTTATCTTTGCCCTCTCAGACACCTTAAAATGCACCTGCATACTGTCCCTGCACACCCTGAGGGAGCTTTGTATTGATCAGTCCCGTTGCTCTCATGTACTGCTGCAGGAAGACAAGATTCAAGGCTTTTATTGTCATTTCTACATAGCTACAGTGTAGATATATCAAAGAAAATCTTAGGTCACAGGCTCCTCCAACAGTGCAACACAATAAATCCGATATAATAGTGCAAGTAAATACAAATAAAATAGGATAGAAATAGTGCAAGGAGAAGACATAAAGCTTGTGATGCCAAAACACATTTTCATTTGACATTTCAAAGTTGTGTGTTTTCCCAGAGGCCTGTACTACGAATCCAGTTCAACATATCCTGATATGTTTGAGTTAGCCGTCTTACCTAATCCAAAACAAACGCGCTCCCGCTAAGCTGTCCTATGACGCCGGTTATCAACTCGTTAACTTAAGCCAGTTTGGCCCTATCTAGTTAGGTGCGCGTTCACATGAAAGGGGTGGTATCTGGAGCATTCGACCAATCACAAACATGGAGAAGCGTACTGCTTTCATGTGAACGCGCACCTAACTAGATAGGGCCAAACTGGCTTAAGTTNAGTGTCTGAGGATTTCACCGGAGGATGTGCTGGTAGTTCCTTCGATTTTCGCTTCCTCGTTTATCGCTCCTCGGTCCTCCGGCACACAAATTAAGGCCACTGGGACCGCTACTCAAGATGGGCGCAGACATATCAACTTCCGGTGATACCGAGACCAAGGAACGGAGGAAATGAGAAATAACCGAAGGTGAGACACAGGCCTTGGTGCCCACCGTCGCGTCTTTTACGGCCGTTACCGGACACCTTCCGCAGCCAATTCGACATGTTGATTCGGGAGGCTGTCAGGCCGTAAAGGCCCCAGACACCACCAAACTGACACCAAAAAACAAGGTCCCGACGGGAACACTACTGTTTGCGTGGCCTCACGTCTCCTGCGTCTTGGCCAACAGTCGCACTGGGAACACACCGCAAAAGACGTTCAGCCGAACGGCCAAGTATCACGTACGAACTGCGCATGCGTGAGTGGCAATAACTCTTCCTTCCAGCAGGCGGCCGGTAGTGTGTATTCATCATTCAAAAGAGGCAACAACCAGAAGACAGACTTCATGATACACAGAGAAAAGAAGAATAGACTGCGTGATATAATAAACAACAAATAGCGTGTGCGTTGGTCTTCGTTTTCTTCATTTCCCAGATCGGATATGATGTACAAAATAAACTCTTGCGTCCAGCTGAGAAGAAAATGAAAAAAGAATAGCCGTCCTGTGGTGCTTCTTAAATCGTTTTGTTTGGGTTCCCTCACTTCCGTTTTCGCTTCTCATGCACTGATCGCTAGCTGAACAGTCAATCAAGAGTGAGTTTAAAATTTGAACGACAGCACTTTGGCCGATGCCAAAATGGGTCGGAACGGCCGAAAAGACACAACGGTGCGGTACACACCAAATCTGAGTAGGGCAACACGACGCTCATCACGGCCAGACATCTATTGACGGCTGAAATTGGCCCGGTGTTTTGGTGTCTGGGCCTTAAAGGGCAGGCCGTCAAGCCAAAAATCACTCTGATTGGCTGCTGTTCAGCTTAGCGAAACGGAAGTGAGGGACCCAAACAAACTATTAAGAAGGCAAATCTGAGATTTCATTGAACTCCAGCTCTCGACACAGGTTCTGGAAAGCCCCATGAGCTTCTGGCTGTAGAGTGAAAATGGAACGCACATGCTATTTGTTGTTTGTTTATATCACGCAGTCTGTTCTTCTTCTCTCTGTGTATCACGCAGTCTGTCTTCCGGTTGTTGCCTCTTTTGAATGACGAACACACACTACCGACGCCTGCTGGTAAGGAGAGTTATTGCCACTCACGCATGCGCAGTTCGTACGTGCAACTTGGCTGAAGTCTTTGCGGTGTGTTCCAGTGCGAAACCTGGCCAAGACGCAGGAGACGTGAGGCGACGTGAGGCGACGTTCTGTCGGGACGAGTTCCTTGGTGTTCTTTGGTGTCAGTTTGATGAGTAAGGACCTTAAGGGAAAATCTGAAAATGAGCTTGCGACTTGTTACACTCGGCTGTCAACGTGCACAAAAAAAATACAATATGGGGCCACAATCTGTTTTCGTTTAATCAGCAGTCCACCTTGATTAGAGCCAATGGGAGTAAATTGATGTTGTAAAGGGAAGACGGGTACTTGTTTAGCGGTGCAGCTGCTGAGAGGTTTTTGGCAGACTTTCCCCTTCTCTTTCTCTACTCATGAGCTGTTTTTGTGCAGCCTATGAGTCACGCAGTGGGATCTACTTCGCTACCTTCGCTCATCTTTAATCATATTATGACAGCCTGAAGAAAGCAAAAGGTGGCATTAATGTATACATTAAGGTTTTTTTTTAAATAAGGTGAATCATAGCTCTGTTAAGGAAAGCACAGTCGCACACAGAATCCGTGTGTGTAATCAGTTTCCTGTGAGATCAAAAAGTGGTATATAATTTCTAGAAGAGCAGGGAGCAATAAAAACTACCCTAGTATGAGAAACGGAGTGCATGAGTGGAGCGGATAATAGAAGTTAGGATTACTGCTGGGATTTGTGTGAAAAAATGACTTCTTGACCCTTACCTCACCTTGAACACAGACACATGTTCATAAAGTAAGTTTCCAAGAGCGCAGGCCACAGGAAAACAATTCACGTTGTATCATCACTAACTAGAAGACCATTATAGTAATCAAATATGGTGTCAACAGTTTGTAACCCTATATATGACATGATTAAGGACACAACTTACATGTTATGCATTATTCTACAATCCACTACAACAGTTATGGGACATTTCCTCAATGTGAATAAGACAAAATACACAAACATTACAATGTCCATCTAAAGTTTATAATAATAAATCGTAATTATTGTTTTTTTCTCAAAAATATGCTTCTCAACAACAAATTCAGTGATTCATCTGCAGATTACTCTCTTAATTATTCAACTAATTGTGTGGTCTATCACCTTTTACTTTAATCACAATTTGAAGTCAATGTCCTACAAAAAATTGCTGTTTTTAAGAAGTATGATTTAAAGAATGCAACTTTTAAATGTTAACCACTTATTGAAAACACTCCCTGGGTATCAAATAAACAAAAATATCGACACGCTGAGAATAACCCTTTGATAATGTATAAAATGTTCCTCACATCTAAAAACGACACTAACCTTTCTGTGGATAGTTGTGTGTGTGTACACAGTGGGAGCGAACAGTTCAGTCTCAGTGGATCAGCAGAGTTGTTTCTAAAGCCCCCTGCTTTGAATTCTGAGTGGGTGCAGTGCGTCAAGGAGGTGTTGAACAAGAATTTCAAGAAACAGCCTCTCTGGACAAATTCACAGGGATTCACTCTGCGAGGTTGAATATAGAGTAAGGTCGGCTCCCAAAGGCAGAGTGCCACAGAGGGCGTGGAGTGCATGTTCATCCAAGAGTGGAGGGACATGACAAACAAATAGAAACAAATGACACTGCTGCAAATCACTGGTTTACAGGTGCCTCCAATAAGACTTAAACCTAAGCTACATTTTTAAAAATAGAATGAGGCAGCCTTTTGTCTACAGTGTGTTTATTTTTAGACGTATTCCAATCCGATTTCTTTTCTATCTCACTGCATATGACACGGATATATTTCGAATCTATGTAAACAGCTAAGAGATTTACAGAGTTTCACTTTACAGTTTCAAACCACACAATATTGTATTTAATGCTCATGGAATATGTCATTTTATCCTTGAGATTATGTAAATCCTACTCTGACTCAACTGTCATAATATTGATGCTCCACCGCAGCTTGGGTAAGCCAGCATTACCGTGAGGAGACATGGAGATGGAAAGGAAATGATATGGCCAATATTTTTACAACTAGATGCAGAGATATTTCAAGTGAGTCACAATTTGTAGGCATGTCGTGCACCTGTGAAGGAAAAAATGCGGAGTGTATGTATATACAGTTGCAAGAAAAAGTATGTGAACCCTTTGGAATTACCTGGATTTCTGCATAAGTTGGTCATAAAATGTGTTCTGACTGCACGTTAGAAGTTTGCAAAAGAGCACCTGGATGTTCCACAGCACTACTGGCAAAATATTCTGTGGACAGATGAAACCAAAGTTGAGTTGTTTGGAAGGAACACACAACGCTATGTGTGGAGAAAAAAAGGCACAGCACACCAACATCAAAACCTCATCCCAACTGTGAAGTATGGTGGAGGGAGCATCATGGTTTGTGGCTGCTTTGCTGCCTCAGGGCCTGGACAGATTGCCATCATCGACGGAAAAAATCAATCAACAACAGAATGGCTTCAACAGAAGAAAATACGCNCCCCACCACAACAGCCAGCTGCATACCTTTAGTTAATCTGCTAAAAAGGCCACATTATTAACCTGAAAGTACACAAAAAGTACACTTCAGATGCTCAATTTCCTTGACATGCTTCACGCTTTGAAATTTCACCAATATCTGTTACGGTTCTTCAACAAAACGTTCACATGTAAGAGGTTTATCTCTCATTCAGAACAATGAAAATGCTCTCACTGATCACCATGGAAACCTTGGATCTCTGGAGATGTTGTTAGCTCAATATAAACACCTTTGTCATGGAACACAATGATGTCATAACTCCAACTCACATGGTCAGAGCAGCAGGCTTCAGATAATGGTTAATGGTCCTGCCCTCAACAGCTCTACGTCAATTATGGTGTGTCATCATAGCCGTTTCCATGGAAATGCATCCCTCGCCATAAAAGAACATGTCGCTATACATTAACTCCTATGAACTTCACATGTGTGCTAACAGTCCAGCCGTGAAGATATCTACGGGACAGTTTTGAGATTTCTTCAAATGCCGTTGCCATGGCAACACAATGCTCGCCATGAAACACGGTTTTCTCATAACTTCAGTGAAAATGCTCTAAACGGCCCAACACTTCACAGGTTTGGTAACGATGAAGCCATCAACGCATCTAAGCGTATTATGGGACGTCATCAAATGACGTTGGCATAGCGACAGATCATTCGCCATCAAGTTAGTTCAAAAGTTTGCAGTTCAAATATTCTGCTGCCTTTCCAAGCCTTTTTACTTTCTTTTCTTCTCTCATCACACATTCAAGCCCCCAGTGTTCATGTATCATTTCAATCTAAATTATTCACTTTCTTCTTACACATTACAATCCAGCATAGCAGTTTAGCGTCAGGTTTTCAGCTTAAAGCATTCCCACTAGCAATTTCTTCAGGAATTGCATTCTCTAGTTTTACTTACACTGCCACTGTGTACTTTAGTATTTCCTTGTCAACAGCTCAATCTGTGTTGCTTTTACTGCTCAAGAAACTAAGTGCCAGAAAAAAAAACAAGGGATGTACAGCTTCCTGTAGAATACATGCAGATTTAAGATAATAACAGAAGAGCAGTGCGGGGTAAAATAAAATAAACTCTAGTTTACTTGTATTCCTGTGTCATTTTATAAGGGGGTCTTGCTGCCGACAAGGAGATTTTTAAGAACAAAAAAACATAGTTTTAAAATTCAACATCGCAAGGGTTTTCATAGGAGATAATTAACAGACTATACAGTGTCTCCTGTATCTGAAGACTGAACATAGCCTATCCTTCGTGGCTTCATAAAGAAACGTTTATCTGTATTAATATGTTTGCAGATCATGTTCGATTGATGTTTGATTTCCTTTGGGACATGCATCAACAAATCTTTCCCTGGAGTCACAGTGTTAATTGAATACCTTTGAAAGGACATTGTGAAATGGAAAGAGGAGCAAAATTACATAAAAACTAACATTTCAGAAATAACTTAGGTATCACAGACAAAATACTCATTTTGGCATTTTTTTTGTGTTAGGATAGGACTGTTAATCGTGAATTATCATCATGGGCCTGGATCTTGTAAATGTCACTGTAAATGAAAGTAGTCAAATTTGAAATGGCATTTTTAGCCTAAGTGTGAGTCTTTGACATTTAGCAGTGGTTGTTATGATGCGTCCTGAAGGGGACCTGCTTGTTATACTCTCATCACTGCATCTTCAACATTCCTCTAATCACAGCTTCCTCTGATTTAATTTGTAAGATCCTTGCTTCTTTAACTTGATGACAGAAATGTTTGCTCAGTAATCAGACAAACCTCTAAAGTTTCCCCTTCTTTCTTCGCAGTTCTGTTCAACATGCATGACTCCGACAACGATGGCACCATCACTTTGGCGGAGTACAGGAAGGTAAAAAAAGTAAAATAACTTTTTCGCGTACAGTATCCCTCACACAGAAGCTGGCACGTTTGTGTGTCTTCTTACTCTATTACACAAACTTTTACATAATTTTTACATATTTCTATATATTTTTCAATGAAAATTGCAATGGCGTATTGGACAAACATTAATGTGTTCAGATGAAATGTCATACTATAGTAAATTGATTAAAAGATATAAGTATAGTATGTCAAAAAAATCTGAAAAAAATCATAGTAGTATGTTGTGGGTTGAAAATATGAAAAATTTATTAAATAAAATGTTTATTCTTTAGTATGTCAAAATGCAAATTCATAGTATACTATATCGGAAAGAAGTCAAAGTATAGTATGTCAAAAAAAGCAAAAGTTTAGTAAGAAAAAAAGTCAGTATAACATACCAAAAAAAAAGGTCATAGTTTAATATGTTGTAAAGTATGGTTTGCATCATGTACATCAGAAACATCATAGTATAGTATGACGAAAAAAAGTAATAGTTTAGCATGCCGGGAAAAAAGTAATAGTATACTATGTGGAAAATAAGGTCATAGAACGTTATGTCGAAAATATGATCGAAAATGTAATAGTATAGAATGTCAAAAATGTATAGTAAAGTATATTGTGTGCTGACTAAATAAAAAAGTGATCGTGGAGTATTACGAACATCTCAGTAAAATGTTGTTGTTTAGTATGTCAAAAAACAAATTCATGACATATATCAGAAAGAAGTGAAAGTATAGTATGTTGAAAAAAGTGATAGTATAGCATGCGTAAAAAAAAGTCAAAGAATAGTATGTCAAAAATGTACATCACGGTATAGTGATTCCAGGAAAGAAATGTCAGAGTAGAATGATATTGATAATATCAGTGTAAAATCATAGTTTAGTATGTAAAAAAACATCAGAAATAAAATGCCAAGAGAAGTCAAAGTGCAGTATGTGGAAAAGACTGTCATAATATAATATTTTGGGATATGTTATAGTATAGTATGACAAAAACTGACATTTGGAAGTGTCAACCCCTGATGTTTCTTCATGAGGTTTAAAGACTAACAACGTTTTCTTTCTCCTTCAAGGTAGTAGAGGAGCTAATGTCGAAGAGTGGAGAAATCGGGCAGGAAACGGCCAAGGCCATAGCAGACGCTGCCATGTTGGAAGTGGCAAGCATAAATGTGCCCAACATGGTGAGGGAACTGACCACAACAAAACTGTAACAATTCATCATACAGCCATATTTATCTGCAGCAAAATAACACATTATTTTCCTCTTCATGATTTTAGGGCCCAGAGGAGTTCTATGAAGGAATAACATTTGAGCATTTTGAAGAGGTTTGCATCTTTTTTAAACGTATGGTCCACCTAATATAAAAAAGTCCGTTTTTGTCACTTACTTGACATCATTTTGTTATCTCCCCACAGATTTTAAAAGGGCTTGAAATGGAGTCCAGGATGCACATTCGCTTTTTGGGTGTGGACACATCAACAATGCGTTGTGGGAAATCCCAGTCTTGAAGTTGTTCTTGTAAAGAAAGTTATATTGCTGCTGTTTTTAGCAGGGCCTCTCAAGTCCTTAAATCGAATGAACCAAAAAACTTGATGTGCACTAACATATGTTCAAATGGAGGGATGTAGTTATAAACCAAAAACCATACTACTAGTACATTTTTATATGATTAATAAATACTGACAACGTGGTTAAAATAATTAAGTCGAAATACATTTATCTTTAACTTTTAAGCCTTTTTAGGTTATTTCTGTTTGAACGCTCTGTGATCTTTGGAAGTGTCATATATTTTAAAAAGATGTGTTAATGTTTTCAGCTTTTTATACTATCAAGCAACCTCTGCCTAATATAACCAGCATGTAATATGAAGGATTCTGTGTTCTTTAGTGAAGAAGTTCACATGTTAGGTAGTCCTTCTCCGGCATCAATGGGTCATCTGTTATGGCTCTCATCCAAAGAGTGGGACTGCACAGCATTCCTCCACAGCTCCAGAACAGGTCTCCTTTTTCTATTCCTCTCAGACCGTGTAACCAAACACTGATCTCTGTCTAAAAAACTGTCTAAAAAACCTCCATGTTTGACAGCTAGAAGGATATTTAACACTGTCCCTGAGATGATTCAATAAAACTGTTTTAATGAACTGAAATGTATTAATGAACAAAATAAATCTAAGAAACCAAAATGCATGTGATTCTTTTCAGAGAAACTTGTACAAATGTATAGGAATCTTATTTAGAAAATCAGGTAAAAATAGGACATTGTATTCCTCTGATGTTGCCCAGCAGCACTGATCAAATACAGAGATTGTTATCACTTAAACAACAAAAATTATTGTACAGTGTTTGCAATCCACATAAAATACCAACAAAACAGAGAGTGTACATTACATGGTACTTTTCCAAGAAGCTTGATTCCACTATGACGATTAAAATGTAATAAAATAAAACAAATACAGTTTGGAGAATCAAACTGATCAAAGTTTTATAAAGTCTGTCAGTCAGTCCTGCTGCAGTTTGATAAGCTGCTGTCAGAGGGAGGGGTGGGCGCCCGGCAGCCTGTCGTAGGGCACAGTCAGCCCGATGTTGTAGTTGTACCCGGAAGACTCGATGTAGTCGGACCTGCAGATGGGCAGGATGTGATCCTGGGACAGCGCGTCCTCCGAGAAGTCGTAATGGCAGATGACTCCTCTGTGTCTGAAGGATAAAAACATGAATATGTTCAACAACAGAGATATTAATGTTGTTCTTCTAAAGTTTTAAAAGTGGATGTTTGAGAAGGACATTAGAGGTTGTGCAGGTAACTTGCAAGTTAGAATTGAGTAGAACATTTAACATGTTTTTTTCTTTCCCAACAAACTCTTTTGAGTACTTACAATTAAGAAAAACTAAAAGATTGGGACAATATTATAAATCACTAAGGAGCAGAGGAATTCTTAATAAATGTACAATTGGGGGTGAGGAAATCTCTAGTATATATATTGTATTTTCTTTTTCTATTGAACACAAATTATTTTATTTTACAATTAAAGAAAAATAGGAGGTTTGAATACAACAAGAGAAATAAAAAAATCCAAGTTACAAGAAAGTTAATGCCAGATATTTTTAAATAGACTAAAAAACGTTGGCTGAATGTGAGGCACAAATAGGAAATCCTCTCAACATATTCTCGCCATGATCTAAACTAAGACTATTCTGAGAAGGGGTATATTCAGCTATAATTGTGTTCATAACCCCATGTTACCTATTCCTCACACACCTAGAAGAAAGACAGACATGTGGAGGTATGGTAATTGGGCCACATCCCAATTGGTAAAAAGCTTTTGTGTTTTTTGTTCACCTTTTAATGACTACATGCTGCTCTGTGGGCATTAATAAAACATGCAGCTGAGAGCAGCAGGTTGTCTGAGGGATGAGTTCCCAATTACATTTTGAGAAAGCATAAAATAAAAACATGTATTAAAGAGCCTTTTTTTAACACTATCCCATTTGTAATTATACGGAGCAGTAATAATTGTTTTGTAAATACACACAATATTTTGCCTTTTAAAAAGGAATAGCTCAATATTTTGGAGAATAAAGTGACATGGATATCAATCTTCTCTCCCAAAAAGCGTATTGCCAAGGTTGAATTTGCTTTTAAAAAACAGAATCAGTCGGTTTACTGATTTTGTATGATTTAGAGACTCTGTAAGTGTATTGTGGGGAATGGGAGGTGGATGTCGAGAAGAGATCCTTAAAAGAAGAAGAAGAAGAGTGGGAGGGGGCTCAGTGACCTGCGGTGAGCTGTAAGGTCATCGTCTGTGATGCAGGCTCCCCTCGGCGACTTGTCATCTGGGATGTTGGCGGTTACCAGGGTGCTGCTGTTGAAGTTAACATGCCTGACAGGATGCCTGCAGCAAAGACAGAGAACAAAACCTTCAGCAAAATAATGTTTAACATTATTTTAATTGTTATACACATTTGTATTGTATCCCCTACAAAACGCAGCATACTCTTCCATTTTTCCCAGTTAAGTGCCATGTAGATGTGGTACTATATTTGGTTTCAAAATAAAAGCCTACATGCATCTTAAAGGGGCCCTATGATGCTAATGTTCAGGTTCATTTTAGCATTTTGTACCTCTAATGGGACATGTTTACATACTTTAATGTTCAGAAAGGTCTTTTCTCATACTGCCTGTGTAAACCAGAGCCCAGTCTGCTCTGATTGGTTGGCTCTGTATTGATTGGTCAACTGCTTAGAGATGTCCCGCCCCTTAGCTAGCATGTACTGTACAATGTGTTGTAGCGCTAGCCAATAGAAGCTGTAATATTGTGTGTGGGAGAGAACTTTGGGATTTTAGCCGTTATAGACCATTTACATGCACCAATACCTAAATAACACACTACAGGGAAGGGAAAACCCTAAAAATAATAATTGGGCCTCTTTAAATATTAGGGATGATTTGCAATTCTTGTTATTTGTGGCACTTGCAGTAATTTTAAAGAACAATATCAACGAAAAGAAAACAAACCGGAACAATGACTCAGTTAAATGGGTACCTCTAATCTCAAAAGGCACACACCATAACTGTGATGTGTAAGAAACAAACAGAAAAGCTTGGTTGGAAAAAGACATGTGACACCTTTGAAGACTGTTTAACTTCACATGTGTATTTTATCATTGTAGCCGAGTTCCCCTCCCTGTGGCTCAGAGGAAAGATTATCCCACCTGTTGTGCATCTCCCACAGCTTGGATCCCATCCTCATCTCCCACACACACACCAATCCCTCGCCTCCGCCGCTCACGATCTTCCAGTCGTCAATTTGAACGGAGGTGACACCCAGGTGGTGGCCGTACAGGGACGCCACAGAGGAGCCGGATCGCAGGTCAAACACCCTCACCCTGAAACACAGTGAAAAAGAACAAACGCTTAATTTTGCCATGTCATTGCGATGAGCTATGCCAATTGAGAAAGTTTATTTGTGATGGGTCAAAGGTAGCAAAAGTTAATCAAGTAATGAAACACTAGTCTAAAATGGCCTCCCTTTTATTTAGGAATTTCTCAAACACTGTAAGGATGAAACGGATAAAAAGGGATAAAAGTGAAGTGAGTACAATGGTATCAGTCATTTCCATTTCCAAGCGTTGTTATTTTGTATCTCATTTCATGCACAGAGTGGGAAAGCTCCAAGACCGCAGAAGAGAACGAGTGCAGTGTGTCAAAGAAAGCATTCATTTACAGACAAAAGGACACTATTCTTGTTGAACTTTTCAACATTCAGCCAAGAGAGCAAAGACAAATACAAACCGAAGCAGAAGTGGCAATACAAGCTGTAGCTCCTTAAACCAAATATCACAATATGTAATCTCCTGCTGTCGGTCTCCAGAAAGGATTTACCTCATTCACTGGATATGGCATGAAAACAATAAACAATAAACTAAACAGAAAACATGAAATTGATGTTACTCCACCGAACTCTTAGCATTACCATATATTTGTTTAATGAATTAATTCCTTACTTATTGAATTCGTCTTCATTTTCTCTGGATTTTTCTGATTGCTTTTGAATTGCATGTGCCATTTATTTACTCAAATCAATATTAAGATATTGTAAGTTCTGCTTTGAGAAAGGTGTTATATCCTTTTTTATTAAATCATGATTATTATTCAAGTAAAAGTATTTGTATTATTACTATTCATTATTTTAAATAGACTGATCATTTAGCTTGCTGGGTTTCACAAGCATCAGAAGCCCATGGGAGCTCCGGCTCCATCTGTTGTCATTGTGGCTTTATTGCAGCTGAGAGCGTCCAGGGCATGACTCCATCCAGCTCGAGCTTCTTCCAGGTCTTCATTACCATAATCAAATTCACTTGGGGACTCTAACAGATTTCATTTCCGCTTCCACAAATGTTTTCAAGAATCAGCGTTAAATGTCTAAATGGGCACTGCGGTCCTGTTGTCCGCAGTTCGTTTTTCCTGTTCAGTGGCATTACGTGATGGAAGCACACGTTTAAACAATGAGGGCTGAGCGTTACTGGCAGCCAGCAGGGAACCATAACTCTGATGTTGGAGTGAGTTGTCGGTGCCCAGACTCCTCTTCATTAATCAGGAGGAGCTGTGTCTAATCAGAGGAGTGCTGAGAGGCTCAGATATCTCCAGTTAGTTTCCCACCACTGGACGACACATTCATCATTATTCACTGAGGACTAAGTTTGACGCAGCCCTGTGGTTTGTCACCCTAGGTGGTCTTGTTGGTATTCCGTACGAATGCATACCTTCCTTATTCTAACACGATTTGGCAGTCGTAGTGCACATTAAGTGTTTTGACAGGCTTTGGTACAGTTTTCTATTCTGCCGACTTAGTTGTTAGTTGTTTCCCGATCATTTCAAGTCAATCAGAAGTGACACAGAGGATGAAGTTAAGTACCATCAAATGATGAACAAGACATTTTCATCAGACAAAACTACTATATTTAACTTTCAGAAACCCAATAACGATAGAGTCTAATTACTAAGACAAAAAACAAAGAAACACAAAAACTGGACAACAACATTGTAACAAACTGTCACATGTAGCCACTCCCTAAAGCATTTGCTGCTTTATGGTGTATTTCTCTCTAAAGTGGACCATTTATTAAATTCAATGAGTTGCATACAAAATGGTTACTGAGGATAAAGAATCATGTGATAATTTGGTTCATTTTTTCATTAACTACTACACATTAGGACTCCTTCTTGCCCCCTGCTGGCTTTTTGAAACAATGCAAGTTTAAAGAGCAACTTCCAGGTTAAAGACACCTGTGAATAAATGTGTAGGAAAATGATGAATACACTAGATTTTCAAAAAAATATACAGAAATATACACGACAGTGACATCTGGTGTCGTTTTTGTAGGACATTTCCTACAAAAACGACACCAGATGTCACTGTCGTGTATATTTCTGTATATTTTTTTGAAAATCTAGTGTATTCATCATTTTCCTACACATTTATTCACAGGNTGTGAATATCACTTCAAATAAGACATACATCAGAAACTGTACAGGGCTACAAGACACCACACACATACGGGAAAATTAGAGAGGTAGAGTATAGTCCAACAATGTGCGAGAGGGCTGGGAGACAGGACGCAGGAACTAGAAAACAATCGGTAGACAGTTGACACAGGATAAATGGACACAGTTATATACGACAATCCGAGGTGTTGAGGACAAGTAACAGTCAAGCAGACAGAGAGATACTGGATGCTAGGCACGAAATGGAGTGCCTGAAGTGTGCTAGATACAATAAAGGCTAGCCTAAGATAAAAGGAGCTTTTCTCACCAAAACAAAAGGAACAAAAGGTAAGTTGCAGAGTTGAGGAAGTCAGTTCAGAAATAAAGACAATTCTGTGCTAGCTCAGACCTGCACAAACTAAGTAAGTTACATCAAGTACGGTATGACTATAGCTAGGAACTGATGCACCGATGACTCTCGTATGTCTCGTCCTCGGCTCTGTTTTGTCGCTGTCGCGCAGCTATCTCGTTTCTCGGAGGGCAGTAGTTGTGTTCTCGCCCGGAGGGTTTCTGGTACTCTTTATGTGATATAGTACTTGTCGTGTGTGAGTTCTTTTGGTATAGTCTACAGGGTTAGGCTTTCTTGACTGTACTAGTCGATAACAGTCCGGGTTTCTTTCCACACAAAGAGGAAGACCGAACGATTCTTTTCAACTGTCCTTATTTTCGCTTCCTACACGGTATCTCATCTCTATCTCTCTGGCACCCCGTAACTCTTTCTCTCTTTTCCAATGTCCCGTTTTTTGTTCATTGGAAGAAAGTCCTCACCTTTTCTTATGTATGATTCACAAACCCTGATTTTTTGTTTGCTCGGCTTTGATCTCTCTTTCTCTTTCCCTTATTGTTTTGTTTCTTTGCTTGCATGTCACTGTCTCCTGTGCGAAGGTTGTATTATCTATCTCCTTCGCTGATTTGATCTTTACTCTATTCTATCTGTATTCGCGTAAAAGGCATATATTCTCTACTCTATATCTTCTTTATTTATCTATTGATGTAACCCTCAACAAGTTAGCAGACGATGTTGTTCATACAAGGAGAGAGGGTCCATTGTTGTGTTCTGGACTCAGATTTCTCTTCTCGTTAGTTGTGACTTTTTCTTTCCTTATATCCTGTAGTCGTATGTGTTTTCGTAGAGTAAGCGAGACTTGTGCTGCTTTCGAGTGATGGTTGGTCTTCATGGCTACGTTCGCTCCGTTATTGTGTGGGGCGCGCTATTTTGGTCTTCGGTTCTTTGAACTGTTGCTTCGACCTTCAATGACAGCCGGGCGCCAGGCGTCAACTCGTAGAGGGTCCACGGGGGGTTCGAGTGTTGCGACCTGCGCTTCTAGTTCCTCGGACTCGGTTGGCCCTCCGTGCCCCCGGGCGGGCAGTAGTAGACCTAGGTTACGGTGGGCCTGTTCAACGGTGGGTTGTTGAGTAGGGGAGGGGCGTTAGTGCGAGAGTGGAGCACAAAAGGTCACGGGTGGGTGGGCCAGTTGCAATTTCACCTGTTATCGGGAGTCGCTCACCCCGACGAGGCACCCCTGGTCAATCATCGGGAGTCCCAGTTTTCGAGACGCGCTCGTACGTACAAGTGGTCCACCAGCAGGGTGAGGGAGTTGCTCTCTTGCACCCGTGGCTCAGTTTCCACGGTCGGTATGTGTTGAGGAGGGGGGCCTGATCGCCTCCTGTCACAAATGTAGGACGTGAGACTCTGCACCGTTCCTGGTCTGTCGCCTTTCCTTTCTCCATCCTGACAAAACGTAATGAAAATTTACCGGTCTCTTGGTGTGTCAATAAACGAATACATCTTATGTTTCGTACTTTAGGGTTTAGTTATTGATTTAACGCGCTACACAAATACGTATGTGGTAATACATATGCTATTGTTCGGAAACGTTTCACTTTGTATGTTCGTCATTCTTATGTTGTTCATATTGAGTATTTGAATTATCATCCGAGCACTCGTTGTTACAACTATGTGTAGGGATCACCACCCCCTTCGAAGACACATCGTTGACGCCTCCTCAGTGGCTGAGTTCCTGGTGCCCCTCTCGACCGCGAAACGACCGTTGTGTACTACCCCACATAAACCCTCGAAGCGCCTCTAGTGTTTGTCAGGTTCTCGGTCTGCCAAGACTGAAGTGCCCCTCTCGAGCGGTGCATTAAGACTTCTTGAGATGGGGTCTGGGTACATGAAGTTCCATTCAGTCTCCTATAGTGACGATGTATTGTGGCTATCTTATATTTGGGCGATAGTCAGACGCGGTTGTCCGCCCGTTGTGCCGCGTCTGGGGCTTGTGACTCGTCGGTGGTCGTCGGTGTGGCCAAGTGTCCACGACACGAGGCGAGTGGCGGCTTGGGCAAACTTGAGCGGGAGTGACCCAGTATTGCAGATTACTCCGAAGCGCTTGCGTATAAGAGGGTGTGCAGGATCGAGAAGGCAGAGGTGGATGTGAGTCAGCCTGGATGGGACCGAGAGCAGTAGCATTTATGGGAGCGCGGAGGGAGGACGGAGAAAAAAAGAAGAACATATGGGAATGGACGGTTAGATGGGAGGGGAGTAAAAAGGTTGCGGGGGCGTCGGGTACAGTCGGATTGAGTTACTGCGACATGTTGTTTAACGTTAGTGGAGATAGGGGAATGGTTATGGGTTGCGTATGATGGTGCAAGCGGAAGTAGCGCAGGGTGAACAGAGGTTCGTCTAAGAGAGATGGAAGGGGGTGATGGGACTCTCGAGAGACAGAGATAGACGATGGTGAGAGTGTGGTGGTAGCACGGTGGAGTTAATACGCTGATCTAGAGTAGGCAAAATGGTTACTTAGGGTTGTGGGAGAACAATGACTAGTAACTTTCCTCTTTCCTCGGCTGGCGGCAGAAAGCCACACACAGGCAATGTATTCTCAATCTAGAGGGAAGTGTGTTTTGTTAGGGACTTCGCTGAGTGAACATTTACGCGTGCCACTGGTCTGCCGACTTGGCCCAATGTCGAAAGCCCGGCCGTACACGTGTGTAGATAATGGAAGGAGATCTTATGGATGAGGACGCGACGTAATTATTGAGGTGTTCTGGTGTTATTAGGAGAGTATGGGTATGGAAGGGGAGTGGGATGAAATTACGAAGATGTGTAGCTTTTTTGTAGGACGATATCGGAGCTTTGTGTTGTATGGACTGTGACGATTTGTGTCTACGATTCCAGGATGTTGGGCGGTGCTGAGGCGTTGAGATTGTACTGGTGTGTGTTAGTGGGACGACAGAGGTGAGCGGTATACACGGACAGAGGGACACGATGTGGCAGAAGGGGAAACATAGGTGCGAATAGAGCAAAATGCTAGGGGGTGGTCGTCGCGAAATGTGTGGACGAATGTTTACGAGTTTTACAGAGGTGAATCCACAAGTTGTGTTGTGACATAATGGTAGCGGGGAGGGGGCAACTGGGGAAAAGACGTGGTTGACAGGGGACCTGGCGTCCAATGCTAACTCTTTACAGGACTGGACTCGTCAGACGTACGTCGACGACATTTGTTGATGGGGCGGCGGACATATGGTGTAGGGAGACGAGTCCGGCTCATTGCGAGGTGGGGGGAGCTGTGTGTGCCGCAATGAAGAGCCAGGACACAAGACCAGGAGCGAGAATAAATGTGTCGCGACGGAAAGAAGAGGTCGAGAGAGAGAGTGCGAGCATTGGAGAGGACAGTGGTCCTCGGGTTTGTCATGTTGGGTTGGTACGTTGTGGGGCCTAAATTCATTGATGAGTAGGACGACTGGGAGATACGACTTAAGGACAAGCAAGGGAAGGGAACGATCAGAGGTTTAACTAACGCCGTGTGAGTATGAAGGGTGTGAATGTCTGTTATGAGTGTGACATGAAAGGTTGGACGGTTAGTTTACAAATGGACGATGGCCTATGGATTGGCCGGTTAGGAGTGTTACAATGGGGTGAAGACAGAGTTCACGTGGAAGTGGTCACAAACATGTGGCGTGCGCGTATGGAGGTCGATAGGGCGTGTTGGGATGCTTGTGCGGGAGACAGGAATTCTGGGAGGGTGTTTAGCATGGTCGACTTAGGGTGTGAAGCCGTCCTTTTTGTGGGGTGTTGGTTCAATGTTCCCTTGACCCTTTCTTGGTTGCAGTCCGGATGCGCCGTTGGCGCCTCCGCCTAGGCGGAAGAGGCGTCCTGCCTCTCTGCACGTTACTGGGACGGGGCCACACCATGGTTACGTCTCTATGAGTGGGGTAATGGCATGGCCCTCCATGGCGTGGGGTGGTGTTGGTACGAGTAAGGTGACGTAGCACAGAATGGGCGGCCGGTCCTGTGTGGGGTGGTGTGGAGTCTCCGACATGATTGCTTAATCAAGTTGTATTAGGACCATACAAACTCAGATAGGCAACTGAATTAGGGTGTGGGTGTGGGCGGAGAGGCGATGGTGGAGGCGAGGATGAGCTGCGACCAAGTGGAGGTGTAGCAAGGGGGTGCGAGTTAGGTGGGAAGACCGGATAGATGGGCAATAGGCGCGCGGGCGCGCGAAGCGCGCCGCCCGAGGTCCGTGGGTAGAACTTGCTAGGTTTGTACCTCTTCATCGACTGTCCTCGCAGTATGAAGGACTTCCTTTTTCAGTGATATTATTTGTAATCGGGGTGTGTATGGGGACTCTTGGAAGGTGGAAAGTGTGTAGGTAGGTGGGGCGGGAGAGGGTGGAAGATAGGGCGGCCGAGGGGGGTTGCGGGGTATCGAGCGTGACGTTCCACTGTAGTGTGCGGGGTGCGAGCCAGTTGGTCTTTTTGCGACAAAGCTTTACGGCAGTCGTAATGTCCAAATAGGCGGGAGTGGTAGTGGTAGTCTGTGTGCGTTAGACTGAAATTAATAGTAAACGGGGAGGCTCAGGCAGGGGGAAGCGAGGTTGGAATGTACACGAGGACGAATTTTGAGTTTGAGAAGGCGTAGGTCGATAGGCACGGTGCGACACGGCGTGGACAGAGCGTGTCGCTGATGGGGGCGGCGGAGCGACTGGAGCGTATGGGCGCGGTTATATACGGAGTGTAGTATACGTAGGCAGCTATACTAGGTACTGGACGTAGGGTGGAGCCGGGCTGGTAGCTGCAGACGGAGGTGCACGGGGCGGCGTGACGAGTACAATGTGAACTAGCGCCAAGAATGACGAAACTACCGTCTAAATAAGGAGTTGGATGGGCGGAAGGAGATTGGACGGATTACAGAGGGTGAGTGTATGTTAGTCTAACGAACTCGGGCCTGCCGGGACTAGTAAGGGGGATAATAAAAGGCAAGTGGGCGAGCCGGCCCAACTGTGAAGTATGGTGGAGGGAGCATCATGGTTTGGGGCTGCTTTGCTGCCTCAGGGCCTGGACAGATTGCCATCATCGACGGAAAAATGAATTCTCAAGTTTATCAAGACATTTTGCTGGAGAACTTAAGGCCATCTGTCCACCAATTGAAGCTCAACAGAAGATGGGTGATGCAACAGGACAACGACCCAAAGCACAGAAGTAAATCAACAACAGAATGGCTTCAACAGAAGAAAATACGCCTTCTGGAGTGGCCCAGTCAGAGTCCTGACCTCAACCCAATTGAGATGCTGTGGCATGACCTCAAGAGAGCGATTCACACCAGACATCCCAAGAATATTGCTGAACTGAAACAGTTTTGTAAAGAGGAATGGTCCAAAATTCCTCCTGACCGTTGTGCAGGTCTGATATGCAACTATAGGAAACGTTTGGTTGAGGTTATTGCTGCCAAAGGAGGGTCAACCAGTTATTCAATCCAAGGGTTCACATACTTTTTCCACCCTGCACTGTGAATGGTTACATGGTGTGTTCAATAAAAACATAAAAACATATAATTGTTTGTGTGGTTTTAGCTTAAGCAGACTGTGTTTGTCTGTTGTTGTGACTTAGATGAAGATCAGAACACATTTTATGACCAATTTATGCAGAAATCCAGGTAGTTCCAAAGGGTTCACATACTTTTTCTTGCAACTGTATAATAATAATAATAATAATAATACATGGGATTTTTATATGGCATTTTTCCTAATGCTCAAAGACACTTTACATCAAATCAGAACAGAAACAGTACAAAGAAAACAGTAGTCCTAATCCAAGTGCGGAGTATATTCAACAGAATATAAAGTGGTTTTTAACATAATGGCAGTGACGGGAATGTTCTATTCTGATTTTAAATTGGAAGGACAAATAATTCAATTTTCATTGTTTCTCTATAGCTTTGTTAGAAATGCAATAAGGGCATTTGCTTGCAATTAATTATTGGCACTACAATTGCAACAGTGTTTTCAGCCTGGTTCTCTTTACTCTCTAGAATCGAGTGGGCTCCATCAGCCAGCTGCAATTCGAGCTGGGCAAGGTGCTGTGTGACGTCAGCTCCTGTGACTCCTTCGTCTTGGCTGGGTGAGATTCATGGAGTTAAGCATGATTCTGTAATCTGATGTGCATAAACATTAACTGCTCTCACACCTTTAATTCATCCTCCGATTTCTCTGTCACATAAATGCCTGTATAAATCTACAGGTTTATGAGTAGAGGTTTGATTGAAAATATGTCACACTTCAACATAATACTTGTATTATGTTGCACAGTTGGAGGAGCCTTTGACCTAAGATTTTCATTGACATATCTACACTGTAGCTATGTACCAATGACAATAAAAGCCTTGACTCTTTAATCTTTAAGTCTCGCTGACTGATGCAATGGTGACTGACAACCAAACCTTTGCATTAGATTAATTGTTTTTGTTTAAAAGCTGTCAGATAACAGGTACACAGGATGTTTGATTGCCTTGGTTTATTTACAGAAACATTTAAAGTCATTTTTCAAGACACAATTTTAACCAATCTTCCAATTTGGCTCGGGTTGTAATGGCACAGTGAGATCATGGATTGCTATGATGCATAACAACTTTTATTGTTGGAAACACTCACAATGCCCTAATGCATTGTACACGTATAGGGCGACTGTGGCTGCGAGGGAGTACGGTTTTTCAACCAGTAGGTTGTTGGTTCGATCCCAGTCCGTGCAGTCAACATGTCAATGTATCCTTGGGCAAGATACTTAACCCTGAGTTACTTCCGAAGGCCAACGGTGTGTGAGTGTGTGTGTGAATGTTAGCTTTCTAGAGCAAGTGACACTGCTCTGTATGAATGAGGTGTGAAAGGGTGAATGATGACATGTAGTATATAAAGCTCTTTGAGGGGTCGTAAAGACTTGATAAAGCGCTATATAAGTACAGTCCATTTACCAGAAACAGACTTTGCACTATTCTGCATGCATGTATTCTTTCTGAGGTAAACAAATCTATAATAGTCTCTTGAGCATAACAATATGTCTGTCATAAAGGGTCTCTCAACCCAAACTTTAACAAAGGGTTGGGATAACTTCATTGTTCTATGTTCAGGAGATTTTTTTCCAGAAGCCCTCCTTATCCTTAGAGGTCTCCTCCTCTGTAAAAGAAAAAACACACAAACACAAGACTGACACAAAAAGGAGATTGGTCGCCTACAGAAGACTACATTAAATGGACCTTTACATTGATTGGAAATTGGAATCAAATATTTCTCTAGGTTTAAATAATGCTGTAAACATTTATTTTTAGACATTTGGAAGCACTCATTGTAAGTTGCTTTGGAGAAAAGCTTCAGTAAATATAGTAAAAATAATAGGTTATTTTAAGTATTATAATCTTAAATGAAAAAGATAGTCCATGTTTTTACCATCAAATCTTCCTTGTCATAACGTAAAATAAAGAATGACAAGTAAGGAAAGAGCAGCATTTTAACATCTTCACATTAACAAATATCAAATTATATAGGAGAAGGATTTATAAACTTTATGTGATGATTCCAAGTGTTATTAACTTAAAGTTGTCCCCTTCACCCTCGGCAAAAATAAATTCCTGATGGAAGTCATTATTGATCATATTTAGTTAGTGCGAATGCTGTTTACAGCATTCCACTATAGATCTTCGAATCAACCAATACTTTGGCTCTCAATAACTTCAGCATACGTTCAGCTACAGAAACCATTCAAATATCGAACTATTCAGCCTTTTCATGAGTCGATTGGAAACTTTCAACTTTTTCAAAATATTTCATATTTTTTTGAAATATTCAGCTTTTTAAACTCTTTTTTTAACATGTAGCTCAATGGGAGGAACCTTCAAATCCTCTTTTACCTAGACCTTACGCCAAATGCTTCTCCTTCCACATACTTTCAGCTAGAGACTTCATTCCAACTTTAAAATGATCATAAGACCTTCAGCTATTCAATTATTATTCAAATTGTTGATATCTTTTACACTTTTTGAGATATTTAACTTAGTTTGGATCTTGGTAAAGAGGTTTTCTTCAGATTTTAACATCAGTGTGTATTGCGCAGCTCGTTAAGTCTTGAGTGCTTTGATCTCAAAACAGAGTGGAGGACAGCTTGAAATTCGCCCAATTTTTTTTTACCGTTTGTAAACTATAGTTTAGAGGTTTATTTTTCCTTCAGATCAAATGGAAAGGCTCTCCTTTCACAGCACATCTCCATGGAAACCTTTGATCTCTGGGCTCACGTAAACAGGTGTTTTGATAACGTCTTCTCCGTGGTAACCTTTGATCTTTGAAACATTCATTCACTACTACTTACATTTCATATCTAACTCCTTCAGCCTACTTTCAGCTACAGAAACCATTCAACTATTGCATTATTCAGCTATTTCAGGACATTGAGGCTATACATTTTGTTGTTTATACCTTTTTTTTAAACCTTTTCTTTTAAATATTAAGCTTCTTCACTATTTTTCCTACTCTTTTAGTTTAACATTTCACTTTCAAGTTTTGATTCAAATCATTTCACTTTTCTGCATTTCTCCGCTAAGTTCAGCAACACACTTACTTGGTTTTTGTAGCTAAAAGCAGCTACCATTCAGCTAATAACATAATCAGCTTTTTCTGCATTTTCAGCTAAATTCAGCCACTAATGTTCACAGTTTACAGCATTCACACGCATTTTCTGGAGGAAATGCATTTTCTAGTTCAATTTATGATTAATTTTAAGGCTCATTTCGTACATTTCTGTATTGTTTATGATCATTCAAATAGCAGTAGTTTGTTAAGTAAGAGTGTACAAACTCTTGGTCTGAGAGAGTGATAGATTGTGAGGGCCCCCAGGAGCATGATGGCCTGCTCCCAGGAGCATGAGGGTCTGCCCAGAGGAGCTGTGCCGGGTCTCCATGGAGTCATGTGATTAGATTCCCCTCGGTCCTGCTGTGTCTCATCAGAGTACACAGTGGTTTCACAACTTTAGCTCACTGTGTACCAAAACATTCTTGACACGAATTAAAGCACTTGAACCTACTCATAAATCTGTCCTTTTGTACCTTTGCTATTAACAAATCTACAACATTTTCCCATTATCTGTACCCAAAGGGGGATTTATCTGAATGAAAGAACTTCACTTTGTTTATACACATCAACAGCAGTTAAGATAAATCAAGAACGATTAAATTGCAGCTACAGCATCCATTTGTAATAGCGGTGGAACGAGATTTGACAATTAAAAGGCAACAGGAGAGACTGCCTCGTTAACCCAGCAACTCTGAGTCATTCACGGACACAAAGGCCAAATCTGCTGAGGTTCTGCACGTTGCTGTTATATGTGCACAAAGTTTCCTCAACAAACAAAAGTTCTGACAAATTACTTGAGAGATTCATCATCCTGTTGATAGTCGGCGTTGATGCGATGCACCAATTAATTGAACAAGTGTAATCCCCTTGTTTATGTCCTGCCAAACCCTGTGATGAGAGTCACACACACACACACACACACACACACACACACACACACACACACACACACACACACACACACACACACACACACACACACACACACACACACACACACATCTATGCCACTCTAGCTGTCACTGTGTCACACACTCTGGCTGCGAGGCGGATTCTTGCTCAGACATGATGGTATCTGTGGAGGTGGGAACGCTGGCAGTTTGTCGTCTCCTGCAGTGAGAACTCATTGACTTGGGCCAAGGGAAATAAAGTGAAAGACGAGAAGCTTATTGAGTGTGAGGGAGCGGGCTTGTTTTTTCTTGATGAGGGGAGCATAAGGTCTAGGGCAGAGCTTCTGTTTAACATAGGGGGAAACAGGATATCTTTAATTTTATGCTGGAAGTATCTTCATTTATGCAAAGAAAAACAAATACAAAGATACGTACAGTCATGTTAATCGATTTATGAACTTAAGTATTTGGGGACAAAGAGACAGCGACAAAGAGGTCTCATAATATTATAATAATAAATATCCTTGAATAGTTTGGCATCTTCTATTGAACTCTACACTGCGAACTGCACGTTACCTGTGAGCATTTTATAAATCTATCGGTTTCTTATGGTATTTATCATGCAAAAAAGCAGTCATTTGCTTTTTGAAACTTCCCAGATGAAATGTTTTAGTATAGAAAATGTTTGATGGTCTTTTTATACTGTTTTATAACATTTCAACACCAAACAAATCAGGTCTATTAACAAGTAGGTGTACACATACAAGGAATTTGCATTTTAAAGACTATTGTAACACGTTTAAAATAAAGACCATATTTGTACAAATATCCAAAAAGTAATAACTAATATAATAATATAATAAATAATAACATTTGATAAATACTTTATTCAAATTGGAGAACTGTGCAGATTAAAAAAGATGTTGTTATTGTGCAATTAAACAATTAAGGCAGGAAGGGTAAATCAATAAGGAACATATTGACAATTCTCAACTCTGGTCTTATCTGTTAACATAAGTAGTGCCAAGATATCAGAATTAATTTGATATCTTAATTTAAGATATTTCCAAAAACTACATACTTGTAAACATATATAAAATGTTGATTTACAGTGAACTATGCTAAGATAACCTTCACTTCCTGCTTATCATCACCACATTCAGCATTGTTTCGCCCAAACAACACCCTTGTAATACTGGGAAGATCATGTAACAAAGATTTACAAAAAAAACAAAACAACAACAAGTTGGAGTGAGTAAAGGAGGAAGGTGTGAGAGGGGGAATGATTCAGTGTTGAGAGGGTGACGTAAGGTATTCTTGAGAAGACAAACTTTTCAGCGTGTGAGGGAACAATGGGCGACAATTCTGCTTTAAAATCCATCTGCCTTTTTGTACGAAGCTAAATGAAATATGTTAGTGTGACTTGATGTGTTTGTTTGCACCTCAGGTACACATCTGGGGATGTGAGGCTGTGGGACACGCTGCACTGGGACTCCACCGCCTCCTTTCTGAAGATCAACAGCCTGTCAGCCAACTCTGTCCCCAGACCTCAGGTCAGCCACGTCCAGGTCAACAGCTCGGTGGCTGCTGCTGCGTATGAAGATGGTGAGTGTTAATGCTGGGGTACACCGTTAGCACATCCTGGGGATGGTAAGACATCAGCTACAGAAATATATTTAGCATTTCCCCAAATAATTATTTTATTATTCGTTTTTTAAATGTTTGCCTTATGGTGTAACACACAGGTTCCAAAATGTGTCCATCCCAAGGGTCCCCAAATAACATTATATATCTTAAAGCCTTTGCACAATGTTTGCAAGATCAATTAAAAAACTAAAACATTAAAAAACTAAAACAAAGAAATTAATCTTCTGAATATTTGTTTTACTTATTTTAGCGCAATAAGAATTACATTTGTATTGAAAATCTTAATATTACCGGCCACACTTACAGCTTATTACTTGATGAATGATGTTTTGACTGGCAGCCGGAAATTATAAAGAGGGGCATTGCAAATAATATGTACAGAATAGATGTTATTATAAATAATCCAATTACATGTTGTATTATTTCTTTTTTTGTTGCATTTTCCATCATCTTTTCTTCAATAAGTTAGGGCAAAGTTAAGAGGATGCTCACCTTGGAAATCACTGCTGTATTACACTCATCACTTTGTCCCATTGGCTAGCATTACTCTTCATTCTCTATGTGAGGGTAACTCGCTGCAGTTATTAACATAGTAAGGGGTTGTGTCTCCCTATGTTGGGTGTAGGCTGTGTGGACCTGTGGAGCACAGAGACAGGTGGAGAGCCCCTCCTCCACTACCAGAGCCCGGAGAGGCCCCAGGCCCTGGCCCTGGGCCCCGACAGCCCCAGCCTGGGCTCGGCTGCCGGGCCTCACGTCCGGCTGGACAGCGCCGACGACCGCGGCTACTGGAGGATGCTCTGCAGGGCGCAGCTCCCAAAGACTGTAAGCCAGTTTCATTCGTCAAATGTGTGAAATGCTGCGTACTGATGTGTTGTTGTGTTCATTAAATGGCTGTGGCTCACACATTTTCCTCCACTTTTAAATAAATAAATAAAAAGTACTGATGGGAGCATTTAACACCCTCGTCTTGTTCCACATTTTGTAGCATCTCAGTTTCTGGCTCTACTAGTGCTGCAATGAATCAATGTCGATTGATCATCTTATTGATCAGGTTTCATTAGTTTAATAAGTTAATCAAGCAAAAATGCAGAATGTATTCTTTTCTAGGATATGGTTGTTAATGGACTATTGTTGGGTTTTAGACTGATGTTCTCACAAAACAAGAAAATGTCACCTCGACATGTGGAACATCTTGATAGGCTTTCCTTTATGCGTATCTTCATCTCTCCTTTTAAACAAATCCTGTCTTTTTGAATTTTTTTAATCATGCTTTAGTTGCAGATTGTTGTGTTAAATGTGCAATGTGAAGCTCTATGAGAACACTTTTTTGATTTGTATAAAATGTTAGAGAAAAAAACGAGGTACCGTAATAATATAATAATTAAATTCATGCTACTGCACAAAAGCTTAAGTTGGGGAGTGAATCAGTTCTTCTTTCTGCTCTGAGTACACAAGTCTTGTCTGTACTGCAGGTAGAGAGCCTGGTCCTGGTGCCGGGCCGGGGGCAGCAGGGCCCGCTGGCTGCTCTCTCAGCAGGAGACGCTGTGTACCTGTTGGACCCTCGGGAGGAGGAGCCGCGGTCCCTCCACTCAGTCTACGGTCACCCTATTACCTGCCTCGATGCCTCCGACTCCCAGGTTGCACTGGGAGTGAAACGCACTGGCTGGGCCATGCACGACGGAGGAAATAAGGTGGGTTCAGTGTCACAGCTTTTATTAAATCTAAGCACTAGTATTGGTGAAGGTAGTACATCATTGACCCCAATCAGAGTAAACCAATTACAATGACTTGAATAGATAGTGAAACAACTTTTAACTGGATTCTAATGAACAACTACCTAGAGTACATTTGATTTTAAACCTTTAAACCCAAGGACACTTATCATACTGAAAATGTGTCAAATGTCTTAAGTCAAGATGTGTGGTTGCTGAACTGCAACCACCACGCAAAGTTTATTGCTCTTATACCGTGATTGTTGCTCATTACAATCAAAAGCAGCTCGCTAAATATCACTTTTTCACTTGCGTCAGTTTGGATTAACTTCCAATACGAGAGTATTGTGTATAAAAAGTGTTTAGCAATATTTATCGGGATACCTGAAGGCAACATGACCATGTAAGGTCTGTCACTCATGATTCCAAGCCCCACTCAGGTAAGGCCTGCCCCCCGTGCAACACCAGGCCCAAAAGTCTGAAAAACGATAAAATAAGATTTGAAATTGAAAACGATCTGAACTAGAACAAGTGATTTGAAACCGATTCAATTCTCTGAATCAAAAATTATATTCAACTGGAAAAAACGTTTTAAATTCATATTTTAGTTTGAATACATCACTGTACTTTTTCAAAGTTCAGGGTCAAAACTTGAACTTTCAAAAACATTCTATTTTTTTGAATGATCAAACCTTTGGCCCAGATTAAGCTCCATAGAACAGCTGAAGTAGTCCATTGTATCAGCAATTTGTTTATGACATGTTCTAGTGTTTTTTAATGGAATAGATGGAGCTGTATCAAGGCCTCTTCTAACAAACAAAGACAAACAAAGGAGGGAATGTTGACGGAGGAGATGGCAACACCTCAAAACTCTGCAGCTAGATTTTAGATGCATTGTAAAAAATAGTATTAAAAAATGTCCCAGTCCTTACTAATTGAGATGAAAGGTTTCCAAAAGCATTTACCAAGGTGCTTCTAACAGGTGCATGATAAAAAACCTGGAACATTTGCCAAATTAAACAATGAAGTGTGCTCAAATGGAATGATGCCTCTTTTCTTTCAGGAATACAATTCATGGAGAGGAGAGCAGTGAGGACTTTTGTGAGGGTTTTGGCAACCGGGAACAATTGGTTCAACCTTTGGCTAATAACTAAATATTTGTAGTCAGGTCCACACCTTTATCTGATTTAACATTGTAGTTGCATTGCTAACAAACACTTCTTGTGTCGATCTCAGCAGCATCTCTTGAAAGTGTGATCACTATTACACCGTGTCCCCTCAGACCCATTGGCTCCCCTCAGAAATGAAAGCCACGTACCTGCAGGGGATTTGTTTCGCAATCCTAAATAGCGACATGCTCTCATTGGGCTCTGCCTCCTAATTACTACAGCCTTCAAGGGCACTTTGATAAACTTTGGTTCCCTAAGCTGCATGTGTTTGCTTCTAAAAATATGAGGTTACTAAGGACCCTGTGCACCTAATTGACTCTTGAGCCTTTACTTAGGGAGCACAAAGAGCCACGAGACAGACCGTTCTTTTGGGATCAGGAGGCAGCTATGCAGCAGTCATTATGCTTTACAAAGCTTACTTCATCAAGATAATTTTCTGTCAATGTTAATGGATGGAACAAAGAATAAATGAAGGAGTTTCTCATTTAAAAAGCAGATGTTAGCTGCAGTAAGGACCTGCAGAGTGGATGCTTTAAAACCGCCAGTAGCACCCGAGCACGCTGTGTGTGTGCAGCAATCTGTTTGTTATGGCTTCTGGCACAGCTTCACCACTGACATCATCCCCTGTTAGAAAAGGCACAGCCATACTTGGATTCAGTGACAGCTCTAAAGCACCACACAGTGGATCAAGAGAGAGTAGCAGTGAGGGGAAACAACAGCCTCACCTCATCATGACACAAACAAAGACACATTGGGTGATGTACAGGCTACCGTCTTTCAGGGGATGAATATATGAATGATATTTTTTCCTCTATTATGTTACTAGGTAGAAACCAGTAGACATGGTGTGTTTGAGCTTCATTTACATAGTGGTTTGCTTTATTTAATTGAGAGCTGAAATGATGAGTGGATTCATTGATCCGGGAGGCGTGTGGTGCAGTGGGTTGTGCGTTGGTGTTCGGATCAGGGGGTCACAGGTTCAAACGCCACTGCAGTCAGCATGACGTTGTGTCCCTGGGCAAGACACTTCACCCCAAAGTACTCCTGTGGGGATTGCCCACAGTATTGAGTATGTAAGTCGCTTTGGGTTAAAGTGTCTAACAAGTGACATGTAATGTAATTGATAACCTGATAAAAACAAAAAAATTGGCAACTATTTTTGATCATTGATTAATTTAATTTAATGTTATATGAGTATATATCATATGCATATACATATATATGTAAATTAGCTGCATTCCTCAGTTTTATCGTTTTTTAAAAAGTATATTTTTAGGTTTTGGTTGGACACAACAAGACATTTTGGAGACGTCACCTTGGAACATTTTTTATTATTTTTCTACAGAATAATATTTTTTTTGCCAATTATGTGAAAAATAATCTGATGAAAACATTCATTAGTTTGCTCACTAACTACAATTTGATCCCAAGTATGGAAGTATAATCCCATAGTAGTTGTCTGTTTTTGCTAAAGTAATTTGATTCGATCTGAGTTTATAAAAGCAGCTAATCTCAGATTTTCTACTAAATTAAGTCATTATTTTTATCTACAGCATTTATTTTTTTTTCATTTTAGGTTTGAATTCATTTTACGCCCAGAAACACAACCCTTTTCTGTTTCTATAGTGATCTTAGCCCAAACTCCTCTCACACGATTAGCATAACTCTCTTGCTAATTAAAATATTTCACAAATTTAATGAATCTGTCTGTCACTATCGTAACGCTTGTAACTGCAAATTCATACTGTGAAGGAGAGAAAGCATGAATTGGCAACAACCGTTAGTGATCCCAGACCTTTCTGAAGCTGCTTTTGAAAACATATGCTTCATTAAAACTGTCAATATGCTTAATTAAAATCTACCAAAATGGAAGCCAAGAAAGTCATCTCGCACTTTTTCCTGTCTCTCAGAAGACTGATATGTTTTAATTTACAATATTCCGATGAACTCAACTTCATTGCCATATTTTTGTTAACTTCTTTGAGCATCAGTGGTGAATTTGTTGAAGTCTTGTTTCAAAATCTGACATCTTATCTCTCTGTCGATATAAAAGATTCTTCATTATACTTTGGCATGTTTTTGGCTTTGTCTCCGAGCCTTCACCATCTTTATTGGTGTAGTGGGTTTGGCTGTGTGTGTGTCTGGTTGGAGCCAGTCTCCAGGTCCTCATTACTGCTCACAACCTTCCTGCCAGTGGAGCGGTGGCTCCCAGGCAGACACCCAGCTTGTGCCTGGGCTTTCAACACAAGCTGGCAAACTATCCATCCACTGCAGTGGATCGACCACAGAGCACGAGTGCTGTCAGAAAATCTGTCATCCTTTCATTACATCAGTTCAGACGGCTGGTAAATGAATGGGATGGTAAAAGTATTGTGAGAGATCAGCATCCATCAGGATCCTTTAGTCAGTAAAACCCAGACCGGCTGATTCCTGGGTTAAAACATAGCTTTAATAGTAAATTGTATTAATAAAATTCACATGGAAGTGAATACTATGTGATTATATAGACTGTTGCAAACATGGTCTGTACTGTATATAAGAAGTAGATATGGTCAATTTACTATCCAAACGGTTTGAGGACTAAGGTTTTAAATCCTCTGGCATTTTGATTCATTGTTGCCGAAAAAAAGTCAAAAACAAAACTTTCATGAAATGATAACACGGACAACAACCGAACCGGACAAAGCCATGGTAGAGACCTGTCAATCCCAAGGTAGCCCTTAACTATACTTTGCTTCATTGCTTATTTGACTCTAAATGTGAACATAATGAACATTATGTCATATAGAATAACTCATAATGTTTACTGAGGTAATAAATCAAGTGATAAGTAGGGTCATTTTTTCATAAACTTCTATACAATTAGACTAACCACTATGCTAGGCTGGGAAATGCCACTTCACTGAATCTGCCTTGCACACCTACATGCAAACACACAGCTTACACACTCCTACGCAATATAAATGCACCCTCACTAGAATGCAGCACTCTCTGACTTATTATAGCTCCTTCAGAACAGTTATCTTGGATAATGACACTAGAATGACTACATTACTTTTTTCATTTATCCATCTAGCCTTTTTGTTGATAGCTTGGACAACAGCAAATAGCTTCTACCCATACAAACTACCAATGAACCAAGCAGCACAACTAAATCAAGATTTGCGTTTACTCTGCTTGTTCCTTCCCCAAAATCACTCTACTTGTTCTGGGGATGGATCAAAGTCAACTGTAAGCAATTTGCTCTACAGCTGTGAAAATACACACAACAATACAACTGCTGTATACTTTGAGCACGTTTGAGACACTAATCTGTTGGGATGACTTGGAAAAACACCCATCCCACATGACATCAAACTCATTCCCTGCATCTGGTCCAATGTGCTAATCTCTGTTTGTCCACATGGTGTCTAAACCAAATGTAGCTCTGAAGCCATATTTGTTTCAGATGTGCGTATTTGTATGATAAGGATGGGGAATCATGGGCCATGTGAAGTCAACAGTCTGCAGATTTCATTCAAGCGGTTATTTGACTCATAAGTTTCTCTTTATACTTCATGAGTCATTAGTGAAGTCTCCTGCTGGTGCATCTTTGTCTGGAGTGAAAACATTAAAGCAATTGGCCTTCCATTGCCCATGGTTTCCATTAGGGTTAGGGGAAATAACCCAAACAGCATGGCATCACACTGTTTTTTCGGTGCAACATTAGTATCAATACACGCACAACGACCAACCGTTTATTATTCAATAATATCAAGTATTTATATCTCAAATAAAACTTCTTGGTGTTGATTTTCTTCATCATTAGGTTGGATGGCCAGGAGTTGATCAGAACTCAAAGTGAGATATCCGAGTAAGAAATCTTAAATGCGCTAAGAATGTCATCTTATTGGATAAAACAGATGTGGACAAACTGGATCATTTTCATTGAAGAAAGGTAATACATAGCAATATATGTTATTGCAATAATACTAAGTAGTATGATGTAATCGTATTACGGGGCCATGAATATTCATGGGGTGTAAGGGTACATTTAAAATTGAACCCAAAACCAAACCAAATTCTGCTTCAAATGTGTTCAACAATGCCGGCAACAGAGCCATACAAGCTTTTCTCAAAACCGCAACAATGATTGCCTCATCTTTAATCTTTTTTAAAGCAAAGAGAGTAATCACATTAACGTTCCAGTACAAGCCACCATTAGAGTTCCTTTGTCTGCAAGCCTCACCGGGTTTCCAGAAAGTGCATTAACCCAACAACTCCTCTCCAGTCTGTCACCTTTATTCTTCTGCCGCAGTCTCACCACAGCCCCCCCATAATCACACAGCGGCTCCTTTGCCTCCCTCAGTGCCATTCTTCATTTTAGTGGGCGAGGTGGGCAGATATTTGATACAAATATCTTCCCTAAATTGTAATAATTTGTTATGAACAGCAGGCTGAATCTCATTTCTGCCCCCCCCCCACCTCCTTCCGCTGTCCAAATCCTATCAAGCTTTCATTTCAAAGTCTGGTGTGATTTGGGCTTTGCCCCGGGGTGGTGTACAATTAAAGCTCTGCTTGGCCCAAATAAGGGACGCACAGAAACTGCTGGCACCTCCTCAAGGCGTACATCATCCGGTCTTCCTTCAAACTTCTCTATCTTTGTCGCTGTCTCTCCATCTCACTCTGTATTTGTGTCTACCTTCTGGCTCTTTTTCTCCCCCTCCCCCCTTCCAATTGAATGTCTTAATCGTTTTAATTATTCAAAGTTTTGCCTGGCGGTTATCCTGTTTGTTCTGTCTCATTTGGATGAGAAAACACCAGCCGCTAATTGACCAATTAGGCCGGCTCCAGATGACATCATTGTAGTTTGTAGAGAGAAAGTTTGTTGCAGCCACAGAGCCTCAGGCGGTGGTGTGCTTGTTGGTCAGTAATTGAAGAATGCCCTTAGGTTTAGTTTGATGTTGTAATCACCAGATTTAACAATTAACTACTGGTTTGTTTTAATTAACTGGCAAAGCATCACTTCAGTAAGCTGGTTTGTCCTCTGAACGGTATATGATAATGTCCATTCTCAGTGTGTAGAGTTCCATTGTGCAGTGTTTTGAATTGGCAGGTAGGAAAGAAAACCTGATAACATTTTTAAGTTCACTCACAGTAGACCAAACTTTGTCCATTGCTTTAATTTAAACAAAGGTAATACTCTGCACCACTGCCATGCTTTGAAATATTTTTTGACTTGTGTGCAGCATTGTATTATACAGACTTATTTGTTTTTTTAAATGACTTATAGAATAACACACCACTTTTTTTTTTTTTTTTTTTGATAAACACACTTCTTCAGATCTCAGATCCTGAGTCAAACATGTAAGGATTATTTCCGTTTTTCAGTTGTTTTGTAAATGCCATAAGATTGTATTGTAATATCTGGCCTCACTCCTCATTGTTGTGTAGTTAATGTTATTATGTTCATGTTGCACCATTATTTTATGATATTCCTTTATTATTGTGTTTTTATGATATTCCTATTCCTGTTACAGCATTGTTTATATCAAAACAACATGAACCCCTCCCACGGCCTACCCCACGCTCAAATACCCTTACATTCCTTTCTTATAGTCTTATCTCCTGTTCCAGTTTCTTATCAATTCATCTCATATTTTTAAAGTTCCAAGATCAGTCCCGGTTCCACAACAAAATGACTCCGGGTGCATCTGAGATTAGAGAGGGTGCAGTGGTAAAGTGCTATTTTTATAAGTGGGGAGTGGACCTAACACCCTCTAGGGGGGTCCTCATCTCCTCTAGTGGGGTCCGGGGGCATGCTCCCCCGGGAAGATTTTTTTTTTTAAATATTGAAGTTAAAAGCATCAATCTGGTGCACTCTGAGAGCAACATTAAGAGATCTATGGATCTATGTGCTCTTTGCTTGATTCATGCCTTCCCAGTCCCTTATCACGTACAAGAGCATGGCGCCAGTTGTGGTGAAGGCATCTGACTTACTTGAACCGAAATGTCTACATACATTGCAGAAGATGGCACCTTTTTTACATGAATATTCCAGCCAATCTCTGTTTTGAAACCATGAGCTGTAAAATGAGCGCCTTACCCCACTGTACAGGCGAGTTGGGTACTTTTTTAAATATACCTGGGCAGGCTCTGTTTTGCCGAGGTCCTCTGGCACTTGCGAGCCGCCGATGGGTGGCGGTGTTTGGGGCAACGAAGACGGCTTCCTCCATGGGCAGAGCAGCCTCCATGGGCGAGGCAGGCAAAGCCGGCGAGTCGGGCGGGAGGACGTTAGTGTCCACGATAGTGACCACGGGTAACGTAATATCCCCATGATCTGAACTGTTATTACCTGCAGTAGATGCAGTGTTACTGCTGGCGATAAGGGCTGGTTGTTTAACCATTTTCTGATGTACATCATTGACTGCTGTGTAAGCACCTTGCAGATGATGAACGCGCAGCGGCACAGGTCACACGTACCTTCTTCTTCTTCTTTTTCTTCTTCTTCTTCTTCTTCTTCTTCTTCTTCTTCTTCTTCTTCTTCTTCTTCTTACTACAATTATTATTATTATTATTATTATTATTGTTATTATATATGTAATATTTTTCACTTTTCATTTATTTTAATTTTTCAAATGAGGGTGCAAACGACTCAACTGAGGCACCCTTATGCACCCCCGTAGAACCGGGCCTGTCCAAGATGTAAACACCCTCCAAAGCTTCCAGTCGACTCTGTAAACACATAGGCAGGATGTCATTCTCACGTAAACATTTGTTGTTAGTGCATCAGTAGGTTAAATGGGCTTTATACATTTGAAAGGGTTGATGTGTTTCCCTGCTTCTCAGATCCACGTCTACAGCCTAGAGACGGGTAAACCTGTGTCTTCTGTGGGCGACTCGCTGGGAGACTTCACGTGCATCAACCTGAGAGACAGCCCTCCTCACCTGCTGGTGTGTGGAAACAAAGACAGGAGGTAGGATACTTTTACATAAATGGTGAAATAGGAAAAGATATCCCAATACTGACACCCTGCGATTAATTCAAACATGAAAAGGTGTTGAAACTGAGCCAGGGACTTAAGCAGAAAGACATGTCTGTTCATTAGTTTTCCCACAGTGGCACCTGGTGAAGGAGACAGGGAAGAGGAGGATTCAGTGGAGAACAGGTGTTAATAAAGAGTGTGAGAAGGCTCTTTTCAATTAGTGCATTAGTCCCACTTCACAGACTCTTTGTTGCCTTGAAAAACAAGTAAAAAAAAAACAAGAACGAGGCATTGACATATGTATGTAAATGTGAGATGTTTTTTTCTTTATGTTGAATACAATGTCTGTCTCCTTCATTATCTATTATACTATACACGGAAAATATCTGTCTGTCTTGATGCCATCCAGCAACAACACACACATCCATGCACACACTTGCCACATCGCTAACCTGGCTCTCCAGATGAGGAAAGACTCATAAAAGAGGCATTCTCATCTATTCTGCACTTGTTAGCGGGTGGCGCGGTGCATGAGCTGGCAGGAAAAGAAACATCCCTGGCACGTCTTGGCCCAAAGTTGCCCCTGCTGCTTCTATTCAGCACCAAATCCATCTGGCTGTTAAGTAGTTGGCTGAAAGTGAAAGACAGACCACATCATATTGTTTAGATTTCTGTCTAGCCCATTTTTCTTCCTAGGTATGACACCTAGCAACTGAACTGAACCACGCTAAGTAAAAACATTTCTATATGAACGTGCCAAATGGAAATATTCAGCTTTGTTTTGATTTAAACATTTGTTTATCTTCATGCCAGAGCATTGTTTGAGTCTTTATCCGATTCCTTTTTTGCATCACTTTCGGTCTTTGCCTTTTGATAGATGTGTAGTTTCGTTCTTGGCTCTTTCCCCTTGGCCCCAGCCGATACAGCCCGCAGTTGAAGACAAATGAGGGGGACAGTGGGCGATCTTGGACCTCTGACAGGGTGGCTTAAGGCCAAAGCCTAATGCATCCCTTCTTTTTGTCCAAATTAGTTTTGTCCCTCTCTTCTTTGCGAGATCCTGGGAGCGAATGAGGAGTCCTGATAAGTCCGTTTAGAAAAAGGCTGCATCTGTGCAAAGGGAAAGATGAAGGCTAAGAGCAAAATTGGATAGTAAGAGGGAAAGGGCGGAAATGGTGAAGGCTTACCTGTGGCTATTGAACACTTATCATTATACTGGGCTTCTTGAGTCCAGTTTTAGGACCACTTGAAGTCTTGGATGTAACTTGGCTTTTTCCTGCCAATCTAGCATAGATTATTGCCAATTTAAAAACTGATTTTTTGTTACAATACATTAGTCAGATGGCTCCAGGGATAGCAATGTTGATCTGTTGGTCAAAACAATTGGATGTTAACATTTTTGGTGGATCGGTGTTACTGACTGGTGATCATCTCAGACGTGACGCATTTCAACTTTTACATCCACTTGGCACAAAATACTGATCCTTTCAGTTCCTGATGACTTTGATGGTCCTCTGACTCTTCCTCTATCATCACCATAAAGCAACAACTCTAGAGTGGATCACCATTACGTTTTGTACAGAGATTTGCTTCTCTTAGAATGAATTGTCCTGTTCATCTAGCTAATGACATTCCCATCAGCCTCAGCTTCCCTTAGAAACTGTTAGCGAACATTAGCATACTATAATGCTACACAAGAGGGTGGACATGGTTAACATTATTGCAGCTGAGAAACAAGACGGTAAAACTGTCATTGAGAGGATGGTGTACAGGCCAACAAACTGAAAGCAAATCATAAAAGTAGTTTTGTTGTTGTATAATATGCTTTTCAAATGTCTCACTAGCAGTATTTTTGATGGTAAAGGCTGTCCTCACCTTAGTCAGCCCATGACAAAGTCTTGAAGAACCAAGTGAGAACAATGTCAATCAATCAAAACTTGATTACAGACTCAGGGTCCAGAGAAAAGACAATACATTACATATAATAAATTACATACACAGCATAAAAAAAAACATATATTCAATACATTTTGCCTCCTCATTTTTGATGCGATCATCTTCTGTTCTTGAAATAGAGAAGAATACGTGCGTTTTTTGTATCAAGCCTCCCGATCTTTAAAGTAAAGTAATTGGGAACAGGAGTATCTTAAAGAGCATCTTGCAGGTTTTTTTTTTTTCTACATTTATGCTTAAACTTGCTTGAAAATTACAATTAAAAAGTGAATGTAGGATTTGATATGTTTTACGAGACATAAGGGCAGGAATTCAGAGGGAAAGGAGCAATTTTGAGCTCTGCTCTTAAAAACAGCTTTTTTTTTAAAGGTCATACGTCAAACGCGTCATATTACATCACAAAGGGTAAACATCTCCGCTCTCTGACCGCGGGTATAGTTAGTAGTTGCGTTGAGTTGAGCGGTTGTGTTTTAGTGAGCTGGTATTTTTCGGTAGTTTTACATTGTATTTCACCATTTGTAATCATGGTGCAGTATTGTGTTTGTGTAGGTTGCACAAATACCAGCCTGTCAGGACATCGAGTCCATAGTTTCCCTCACGGGGAAAGGACCGGAGCTAGCGTTCGTTCCTGGGTGCGTTGTGCATCCACCTCCCTGCAGCACATACTCTCCACAGCTTTATCAGGAAACCGTATTACATCTCTCTCCCCCCCCCCTTCGCTGCTCTCTCTCTCTCCCCTCCGGTACACGGCACCGTAAGACTAGTGTGGAGTTGCATTAGGTAACGCTGTGGTGGCTGTACTGCTCCAGCCGTCTCCTTTGTGTTTGTTTGTTTCCCCCTGTCTGTGTTGTTTGTGTGTGCGTGGTGGCTGTCACTCCTGGCTCCCGGCTCAACCTCCACTCACCTGCTGCAATCAGCTGTGCACCCTCCCCGACTACACACCTGCTTTCCATCAAGCCATTTACAACGCATATCAACGGAGGCTCCACAACCTTTCTCCGCCAGATCGTCAAGTATCAGCCGTATCTCGCGTCTCTCCTCCGGTACACAGCACCGTAGTGTGGAGTTGCATTAGGTAACGCGAGATACGGCTGATACTTGCGCATTAGTTTCTGTTATGGATCAGTATCAACAGTCCTGCCAGTAACGTTACTATATTATCAATGCTACTTTAGTTATAGCCTGATATATGATAGCTAACTTTACAATGTTGTGATGTGACGTTAGCTAACATTCTGTAGCTAACGCCGGTCACTCACCAAGATAGCTGCCCAGTTCTCCACTGGTTCTCCTCACACCACAGCTCAATTTCTCTCCAATGGCCGTTATGTCTTCTAATCCTTGGCTGCTCCTGCGGGCGAGACCGTTTTGGGAAAGTCAAAATGACGGAAAATGACAACCACAACAAGTACGTTCGCTACATAGGTTCAAATCCTAGGAATCCTTAGGCCGACCGGGCCCTGTTGCCATCTTGGAAAGAAAATTTCTATCGTACCGTATAAAATAACGAGGTGGGAAGAATGAAGAGAAAAATTGGAGAGGGAGTCGGTGTTTATGTTAAGGTTCTTCAATACCTTCAGACGGAATCAGAACGGGAGAATGACTTTCCCTCGCGCCTCCGGGTTGATAAAATGTATTGATATCCGGGTTTAGAGATTTAACAGTCAAGACGCCGCAGGATTTCACGACCTGTGCGTGATCACCTCGACCTCGTTCATTTCTCAAAAATTACGCATTTTGTACTATAGGACAGATTTGTAGTCCGTCCGAAGTCTTTGCTTTGTATCGGTGGTAGTGACGACGTTACTTTCACGCACTTACTGTAATGAATCATAAAATCCTAATTTATGTCGTGCCTACAACCGACGTCGGACAATAACTGAGGAAAAGGTTTCGCACACAACTGTGGCAACTAGTAAACGTAGAAATTTCGTTCCCCTCCGGAATGAGTCGATAACCGGTCGATAGGTCGGTACGTCAACCACCACCAAAACACTTGATGGCGAGGAGTACTTTCGCAGGGTTACACAAGTACAAAACTACCCGACAGAAGACCCTCACCCAACTTTGTGGAAAGATTACGCCACGGATGGTGTTTCCCAAAGACAAAATCCAGGTGAGAATAAGGAGGGTATATATTAGTTGTCCGAAATTCCAGCTATTACACCTACTTCCGATGAAATGTAAACATACGCTACCGTGATGGCAGGCTACATTAACACGTCACGGGAGGTAATTCCTCCCGACAGACAAGAATTATAATGTCCCGAAACAAAAGCCATTGTGACAAAGTCTGATCGGAGAGACTTGATCTCTTCGAGGGAAGAATTTACAACCCTATTTTGGGTTCCTATGTACGCAGAAAAAGTGTTTCGCCATTTTCTGTTGGTCTTCGGACAAACATCTATACACCAGTTGATGCGGGGGTTCCGCTGTTTTTTTTCACACCGGATCATCGACAGAATGCGTTGTATGGGAACCATAGACCGAACTACCTGACACAGAGAGAAGAATTGGAGCGATACAGTTATCTGCGCATTTTTTTTGACTCCATCGTAATCCAAAGAAAATGTCTTTGTTCAAGGCCACAAAGAGTTGACTCCGGTCCTTTTTCCCGATCAGTGACACTGGAAACAATGGACACGTACTATTGATATCTCCAATCTAGACCACAAATATACTTACTGTGGCCGGTTAAATGGACTAGTTAAGATGTACGGCGTTTGACATAGTGCACGTGATCTAATCACTGTTTGGACTTTGTGCGTAATTGGTCTTATTAAGCTTTGCGGACATACTCGTCCTGGTCCAAACCCATAAATCAAGATACCGCCCTCGACCATGCCCGCNAAATGTTTTCCATTAATTGCAAGCTATAAACAGTGATGCAAACACAGGTATGGTGAAAAAAGAGAGAACTATTCGAAGCAGAAAAAAAACAGCGTATACCATCTGACAAAGGCCTGTGCTATAATGCTTCAATTAACTGGCTATTCTTTATAATATACTCAGATCAATAGGAGACAGAGATGTTAAGTTATAAATAAAGGGTTTTTATTATTATTTACGGCAGGGGTGGGGAACCTTTCTTTTTTAATTCTCCACGAATTACAGAAGTCACCCAAATCTGCTTTAAAAAAGCAGGAGGCGCCGAAAAGCGACTAATTTGCATCAATGTATAAACCAAATCAAATTACGTTAAATAGTTATTGTATAATTAAAAAAAAGAGTAGTAAAGACAGTATGTATGACAAAATCATAAAGTATAAAAAAGTGGTACATTTACAACAAATACAGCATGAATACTGTGACCATTTACATTATCACCACACTAAATCTAATTAATATTCTTGTTACAATCGTGTTTTTAGTGACCTTTGATGATCACAGTAAACAAAAGTTGCAAAGCCTGTGTCCATTGTGATTTAACAATGGTCCAATGGCGACACTAACAATTGTCCTAGCTTTGCGTTTCTTTTAAGTGATGTTGAGGATTTTGTTTGTGCATGTGGCTTAATTAGATGCTCAATCTGCCTTCACTGAAATTATTGTGTTCAACATCTGTTTGGGTCTTTTAAAATGGCTTCAAAACTAATCTTCCCTATATGGTGTGTTACTGCAGTTAGGCCTGCCCTGACTTGAAGAGTTACCGCACTAAGATAAAAGATGACCCGGCATTGTCTAACTTGCATCTCAGCACCATCATATCTCTGTTTGCGTGTCAGAGCTCAGTAGATCTGGAAGTGAGCCGAGGTCGTGCCGTCCTTCCAGCAGCGCAGGGTCTCAATGACGGTGGAGCGACACAGCGGACATGTTCTCTCCCGATCAAACCACAAGCAGAGGCACTCCTCACAGAACACGTGCTGGGGGGGGGGTTCCAGAGAAGAAGAAACAACATTTATCTCTAAAATCTCTTGTTCAAATCCTCTTTACATCTTTGACTGTTGTTTTTTAGATATTATTGTGAATTATGAATGACACATACAATTTAGGAGCTTATTTTTTAGCAAGAGCACTAACTAGTAGCTGATACTGACCTTTGACCTCCCTTCCAAGATCACAGTTATGATCAAATTATAGTAGCACTAGCATGCAATTGTTGTTTTCTTTCCAATTTATACTTGAAGAGTAACAGCTGAAAGTAGTCGGACTGGATTCACTTCTGACCTATCAGCAGTGACAGTGACTCATCAGTAGTGCTGGCTGTTTTCAGAGGCTCAACAGCCTTTAACTAAGATACTGAGGTCTTACCTGACAGAGAAGGGCTATGGGGTCTCTGAAATCTGCCTGGCAAATCGCACAGACATCCCCCGCCTCGCTGCACTGCTGACTGCCCGCCCTCACGCCATAATTCTGGATCAGACACAAAAAAGAGTGACAATTAAAAAAGGTTTTAAACTCTTCCAGATATATTCTGAATTCTATATGCAAAAACACAGCGTTGAGTATATGGGTTTGTGTGTTTATTGATGTGAAGGGTGTAAAATTAATCTAAATCTGACCTGGGAGCTGCAGAGCATGACGAAGGCCTTGCGTATGGCGGACACACGTCCACAGATGTCGAAGGACTGCAAAACAATAAAGCAACTCTTCACAAGTGGTCCTATTTCTTTGTATTTCATATATGAAATTGTAGTATTTTGATGATGGGGCTGCATAAAATGTTAAGGGATTACCGAAGTTCATTTGGTGGGGTATGAAGTGCAGTAGAATTTAAAACATTTTACACAAAATCACCACGATCAGCCTCATGGTGGTGCTTTATGAAAAATCATATCATCAAAGTATGTATATGGCTCAACCTCTTGGACCATAAATGTCATTTTAATAATTGTATCTCAATCCAGCCAGTCTGGACCAGGGGCGGATTGGAGGGAAAAAGTGGCCCGGGGATTAATTGACAGACAGGCCCACTTAATGCGCGGCATGTATCGGCCGGCCAGCGACGAAAGTATGTTACTCAACAAAAAACACTATGCATTTAAATGTTATTTGGACCAATATTCATATAGTAATCACATTACCTGAGCCCTTGAGTTGCCTAGAGCAAAATAGTTACAGCATATATTTAGGGATTATAATGTTAACAGATCATTGATGCAATAACATTTGGACCCAATTTGCCTGACTTGACACATGGAATAAACCATGGGCTTAGGAAGCATCCTCAATGTGGGTGAGACAATTTAACAGGGGGTGTGGGCAGGTGGTGGACCTCACCTCCTCTAGGGGGGACCGAGGACATGCCCCCCGGGAAGATTTTTTTTTTAATGTTGAAGTTAAATGCATCAATCTGGTGCACTTTGAGAGCAAAATTAGGGACTAAATCTATGGATACATCTCTCAACACCCATATGAACAGAACTGTAAACAGATTTACTTTTTCTTCCAACATTTATTTGAACAGCAAGTGGAGGCAAAAGTGACTGCACCCAAAACAATAAACCTGCTAGCTAACAAGCCTAAACTCAGTAACAGAATGTGGGCAACACGTTCTTCTCCACCGCCGCGCGACCTCTGAGTCAGACGTCACTTCCCCCTTTTCTATCCTACGGGTACAGCCACTCCCCCTGAACCCTGTTTCCCTGCAACCCCCCCCCCTCCCCTATGCAAGCCCCTCCCTCTGAACCCAGGGCTCGCTACAATACTGTATACTGTATACACAAACTATACAAAAACGCCTTTACGCTTTGGAGCTTGTTTATCCATCTGTAAGCAACTGCCAACTAGGTCTCTCAGTCACTCACTCCTGATCGTTCACTGCGCAGTGACAGCTGCTACGGGCCTGATGTGTGAAAGTGAAACTATCTGATGGATAGAAGTAGAACATAGGTAGCCTATCAAACGGCCCAGCCCAGCCCTGTAGTGTGTGGGCCCCTCCAGGGAGTGGCCGGAACACTTACAAATGTGGGCCGGTAGTATTTAGGCATTTAATTTGTTTTTGTTTTGGCCCTCCAGCCCACGCACAGCACCGGCCCACCGGGAAAACTCCCGGTATTCCCAATGGCCAGTCCGCCCCTGGTCTGGACCAAAGTGTTGGACCACTTCGATCAACAGCTTCCCTTTAGCCACACCACCTGCTTAATATAAGCAGCAAGAAGTCGGCACCTGTTCCACAGAATCTCACTTAAGTTTCATTTCCCATCAGATTCACCGATAGCATGACAACACTGAATCAACCCCGGATGCACATCATCACACACTCAAATTCAGACTATTACGTCCTTATCTTGGAAACGTAATAACACAAACAGAGGTAAACCCACACACAGACACAGGAAACTGTCCATTCATTTCAAAACAAGCCCATAATTAAAAATGACATCCGCTGTCATCACAGGAGTATTGACAAAAAGCATTTTATAAATATTTAAGTAATGATTCTATTGCCGTGCTTATACCATAAAAAATGTTCATTATGTAAGTCTGGGTATCTAACAGCCACACACAACCTTACAATTGCTAATCAAAATCAAACTCTAAATAACCTCATCATTTGCTAACTAAGAGCATACAGAAAGGACTAAAGAAATGGTAAAACATCCTTTTTCTTTCATTTCTAGCATTGCAAAACTAAAAAACAAATCAAATTATGTTAAATAGCAATTGAATTGTTTTATTATAGACAGTTTGTATATATGGCAAAATCATCAAGTATGCATAAAATAGCCACACCACTAGCTTTATATAAACAACAAGTTAGCACCTGTTCCAAAGAATCTCACACCATCAGATTTGTGTGACACACAGAGCATTTCAACAATGGAATCACATCATCACACTCATATATTGACACGTTAAAATAAATGTGGTCTATAATCGTCACGCAAGCCCACACACACTTGAGAACACATGATAGTGACAATATCAGGGTGTAAATATGTTCAGCATTGCATCATTTGAGTTTCATTCAGCATACAGAAGTTTCACTACTTCCATTTTCCTAGAATCTCTGTGATGACTCGAAACTGACACATGGCTCTAAAAAAAACCTTTTCTCAATAAGTCTTTTTAGGTTTTACAGTAACTGGAATTGCTGTAACTATTTTTCCCTTTACTGATGACACCCTTCAACTTATTGTGTTTAAAACCCAGGCCTGGACGTTGTAGTATAAATAGTACATCTTTTATAAATAGTATTGCCATGAATTCCTGAAAACATTCATGCTCCTGGAACTACATTTTGACCCGCGTGACCCCGCTCGTCTTGCACCACTTCTAATAATAAGAAACCAAAGCAGCCTCCAGTAAGACTCTTAGGGTAACAATATCACCATTATGTCAATTATTATTTCGAAAACATTCCTGTTGTTAGGAGTAACATACACCGTAGGCACTTACACTTTAAGTAGAATAATCATATTGTAGGTCCTTCACTTGTCTCTTCATCTGTTGTCAGATGTATTCTGATGAATTAAGCACATTTTTTGTAGTCTGTATTTGCACTCTCTCGTCAGATTTTGAGAGATGAAGTAGAAAAATAACATTAGCCGTGCTCAACATTTCTCTGCTGTGCACTGATTACCTTGCAGAGGCTGTAGATGATGATGAGTGTGGCTCCCAGGAAGTAGCTGTTTGACGGGTCTTCTCCCATGATGTACTTGTACCACAGCTGGATGGGGACCAGGGCCCGAAACAGCTGGCTCAGCTCCTCGATCAGCAGGTAGAACTTACCCTGGACAAACAAGCAATGTTAGAAATTAAAGAAGACCTCTCTAAATGCTCCACTGAAAAACTGTGAGTTTAATATGCCCCAATTTATTATTTTTAGACAAACAAAACAACAAAACAAAAGCATCCTTTTTCAGTCTTCAACACAAAAAAGAAAAAAAGAAAAGTGACACAACGTGTGTGTCTTTCTTTGAAGCACTCACTAACTGTCCAAAAAGCCGAAAAGGCTTCGGGGCCCTCTTCTATCTAGTCAAGAGCAGTGCGGTATTAAAAGCTTAAAACAGCATGCCTCCAGCCCAAACATGGCTGCTGTCCAGAGCTCCACAGTTTCACAGCAGTAGATGCAATTTCCTCACACTGCAAGGGAAACTGGCAGCGACTCTTTCCACCTGCTACCCAGTGCCCACATTAAACCCAAACCCTACAGGGGCTCGCTAGCTTCCTTTAAAAAGGGCCCCTTCCCTAAATAATCACAGAAAATAACTTCTGACTGCCACAAAAGTGTGTCAAGTGAATTGGGGATGGTTAAAAACAGTGGCAACAGGAATGAAGGCAACCTTGATTCCCCGATGGCCCCCGTGGCATCCCAGCTTGCGTAATGACTTCCTGGATGTCGTCTGACAAAGATTGATGACTGTGGGTAAAGAGCCACAAGCAGCCAGGTTGGTCGGAGAGGAAGGCCTCTGCTAGCGGCCAATTCATCTTCCTCATTGTCCCCATCAGCCTCGTATCCCACAGTGCCCATCACACCCACGTAAGAAACTGTCAAATTGAAAGTTTGGACACCAGCCAAAAAGTTTGAGTAAGCTCCACTGCAGGCCTTGTTGGAGCGGTTTCCTTCTTATTGGGTTTCATTACTTCGGATCTCCCAACTGCATACACTTAAAAATATAACTTTACATTAAAGTCATCTGCAAAGCTGTTGTTATTACAGTTTTATCTCAGCCTATATAGGTACATGGGTTGGGTTAAAATGGTTATGGCCACAAGATCAGTACTGTGATATCCAAATATGCTTTATTAGCCTTCTTCTAAAAAGGTGTCATGGGAAGTTTCTGCCTAACAAGCTTCTTCATTCCTTATACAACAATTCTAACACTGATATTTTAAAACAGCTTAAAGAGGCCCTGCCTTTTGGGGGTTTCCTTCCCTGTAGTGTGTTATAGAGGTCTTGGTGCATGTAAATGGTCTGCAAAGGCTAAAATCCCAAAGTTCCATCGAGGCAGTTTCTCTCCCAACCCCCCGCCTCGAATGCCTTCATTGGACTCCTCTGTTTACTTAGTAACATAATGACATCACTAAGTAACACTCGAGCTTCTATTGGCTCATGCTACTACAAATTGTACGACGTGACGATGGGATATTTCCAACACATCTTCAAGCAGTTTACCAATCACAACAGAGACAGCCAGCTAACCAATCGGAGCAGACTGGGCTCTGGTTTCAGACAGAGGGTGAAAAGAGCTGCTGTAGCACAGGCAGTATGAGAAAATGAAAGACCTCTTTGAACATTAAAGCAGGTAAACATGTCACAGTAAACTCACAAAATACAATTATGAAACCTGAAAATAAGCATAAAATGTCCTCTTTAAATCGTTCATCGTGTACATCATATTTGTTTCCTAGCAGTCTACTTCACTGCTACATTTGTTGCTGCTCTACCGACAACAAAACTGCTGATCATTCAGTAGAAAAAACAGCAGGATGTTAATTGCTGCCTGCATGTGTGCAGAAAACAAAACTGGGACCAACTTAGTTTCAGTTGTTACCCATCCTGTATTTTCAATTGTATTCACCTTCACTGAGTTCTTCCTTTATTTAATCCAAACCAAACATTTACATTTGACTAAGTCAGAATGTAATAAGACTTAAATGATGAGAAGGTTATCAAGCAAAAACGTATGAATGCACATTAATCAGTTATAAATAATTTAAAATAAATAATTACTCTTACCCTTTCTTGAGTCATGCCCTTACTTAGCATTAGAAAAAACACAGATTGACGTTAGGCCAACCACATTTTGGAACGAAAGTGTATGCCAAAAGACTCAGACACTTATTTACAATTTTTTTGTTGATAAACAGTTGATATGAAGACTCAAAGCCTTCAAAAACAAAGCTGTCATGGAACTTCTGTAAGCGTGTCTGCAATTACTTGAACAGACTTGCACTGATTATGTAGGTTCATTAGTGTATCTGCCATTGGATGCAGTAATGAAGACATGCTGTAGGCTGATTACTTGAGTTCATGGAGTTCAGGAATAGACAAGACTGTTTAGCCTTTATATTACAATACACTGATAATGCAATTTGGGACTGTGAAACTACATGTGACGCATAAAAACTGTACAATTCTGTGTGTGTGTGTGTGTGTGTGTGTGTGTGTGTGTGTGTGTGTGTGTGTGTGTGTGTGTGTGTGTGTGTGTGTGTGTGTGTGTGTGTGTGTGTGTGTGTGTGTGTGTGTGTGTGTGTGTGTGTGTGTGTGTGTGTGTGTGTAGGGTACAGGTAATGGTCGAGCTCTAGGGAGGGATGACCTCACCCATAGAACCCCCTCGAGGGCAAATGAGCTCAGTTGCTGGCTGCCATGGTTCTGATAGGCCTGTAGGTCTGTTTATCAGTGGAAAATGTAATCCTAATACTTGTAACCCCCCCCACTCCATCTCCAACCAACACACATACACACACCAGGAATATGAGCAGCACCTGTATGATAATCAAAGTATGTGTTGTGTTTGTGTGCGTGTGTGTGTGCGAGCGTGGTAATATTCCATTGCCTCAGGCCAGACTAACCACGCTCACAGAAACCCATGTTGCACACGCTCACCCAAGGAGTACCATTTAAAACCTTATGAATACAAAACAGTTTCACACTGTGACCCTGTGGCACTTTCTGCACTCGGTGGAGTATTTCATCATGGCTGAGCAGGTTTTCTTTAATTATCTAGAAAGTTAGACAACTTTGTAAGTGAACTTCCTGTGACTTATATCATGGTCTTCATGATTTATGGATAAGGCTGTATACCTGAAACTCAGATTAAATGATGGTAAAGTGCCACACAAGGTCTTCGTCCTACATGTTCAGTAATGTGTTACAATTATAAATCCAGCCCTTTTAACAGCATTTACTGTTAAACAGCTGTAAATTGAAGAATTACATTATATAACCTGAGTTTTAAACCAAGGTTTTCTGGCATATTTTTGCTGTCTGATCACAAGTACAAAAGTTAAGCCATAACTAGTTTGGCAAAAAGCTCAAAACATTTATAACATTTGGGGAAATGTTAAAATGCACGTAATTAGAGCTGATATTAACAATATATTTTATTATGTCTTAACAAAGATATTTGTTGTATTGTCTTCTTAAAATGTCTTTGCATTTTTGCGTGATGATATAAAATGTTTAATCAACCTACAAAAAGAAAACTAAACAAATGTGTCAATTATTTCAACACACACATTGTTAAGAGGTCAAACTAATGTATTAAAATGCTATGCTAATGCATGTGTGATTGTTAAATGTACAGGCATAGGATATAGTTGTAATTTATGGGTATAGTTTGACTGCGTGTCCCATGCAAAAGATGAATAATAAAATCACATGTCCTCTAGATCAGTGGTTCTCAAGTCGTCAGGCCTCGGGACACACTTTGTCCTTTGTCAATAAATCGCGACCCGAAATTTTGAACCACTCAAATCTATTCAACAAAAAATCGTGCAACAATATATACGCTTTTCAGCATATATTATTAATTAAAGTGAAGTATAGTGCATATATCCCTTCACAGAACTAAAGTATGCTTTTAAAAAAGGTTTAATGCGATGATGGAATCAAAGCTGAACTGTATAACATAAAAAGGCGCACATGCTGAAAACCCAACCCCAGAAGGGGGGGTCTGGGGGGATTCTCCCCCAGGAGATTTTTAGAAATACTAACATATAAACTACGCATTCTGGTACACTCTGAGAAGAAAATAAATAAATCTATTACTACCCGACATATTAATAATATTTTATGCCATTGTTACAATGGCATAAAATATTATTAATATGTCGGGTAGTAATAGATTTATTTATTTTCTTCTCAGAGTGTACCAGAATGCGTAGTTTATATGTTAGTATTTCNCGTCGTCCGACTAACGAAAACGGCCGATTTCGGCCTGGTGTGTCAGGGCCTTTAGAGCAATGCGATAGGAATGATTAGAGCGAAGTGAATATTCGCATTGCGTCCGGTGTGAACGCAGCATAAGCCTTAACGAGCTGTGCAATACACACTCATGTTAAAATCTGAAGAAGGCCTCTTTACCAAGCTCCAAACTAAGTTAAATATCTCAAAAAGTGTAAAAGATATGACAAATCTGAAGAACAAGTTTTATAGCTGAAGGTCTTGTGATCATTTTAAAGTTGGAATGGATATGGAAGGAGACGCATTTGGCGCAAGGTGTAGGTAAAAGAGGATTTTAAGGTTCCTCCCATTGAGTTACATGTTAAAAAAAGAGTTTAAAAAGTTGAATATTTCAAAAAGTATAAAATATTTTGAAAAAGTTGAAAGTTTCCCATCATGTGCTGAAAAGGCTGAATAGTTTGATATTTGAATGGTTTCTAGCTTAAAGTATGCTGAAGTTATTGAGAGCCAAACTATTAGTTGAAATAATAATAAGATTAAAGATTCTTATTAGTGTGAATGCTGTAAACAGCATTTGCACTAATAAGAAGAGGATTTTTTCATAGACTTCTATCAAATCTGACGCCCCCTGCTGCATATCGGAGAGAATGCAGATTTAAATCAGTTCTGCATTGGCTTTTCTGACCTGGATTATGATGCTTATAAGATTCTGTAACCTCCTGGGGTTTAGAAATGTTGCAATGTTGTTCAGGATGTAGTGCATTTAAAATGTACAATACCTTATATGTATATGTTTCAAATGTAACTCCATTCGAGGAAGGGCGGTTGAGGAGGGAACATCAAATATCAGCTCTCCTCACAGGAAGGGAGTGGAAACAGCT